CTCAGTTAAAACTGGGGTTGAGTCTGTCCATGTGTTGTGAGATTAAGTAGTTTTCATTGTGTCTTCTCACTGCTAGTTAGTATTCATAGATATCTTCTGCTAGTCATCTGCCTGTCTGTGCTACATTGTGGTGTTATAGTCTTTACACTGTACATTGTAAGTGACTCTTGGTTTTTCTTCTTGGACTACGGTGTTTTGGTTTGTTTCAGATGTTTTGGAGGGCTTTAGTTGGTTTGTGTGCTACAGTATTAGCATTTGGATGTAATAGTCTGTTGATTATTTCTGAAATTTTTTAATGTATTTTGATGTAGTATTGTCTTTTTCATAACCTGTGCCAGTTTGCTATACTGAGCTGAGTGATCAGGCACTTTTTGATAAAGTTGCAGGGGTATTCATTTTGCTGGAAGATTTTGTATAGGTGGTCTGTTTTCTATTTCCTGTTTCCTAGGTTGCTGCACTGCATTTGTACTAATCTGAGTAATGTTCTTGCACAGCTCCACTTGTGGGGGTTGGGTTGTTATTTTGGTAATGGAGCACTTGGCTTGTGTAGGTTGTTTTTTCGATAGACTTGTGTTACTAATTTACCATTGTTTCCTCTGCTGATGAGAATTTCCAGGAAGGGTAGTGTGTTGTTGTTTTCTTCTTTCCTTGTCAATATTATTCCCTTGAAGATGTTGTTTCATGTGTCTTCTCTAGTTATTCCTATTTCTTTACAAGAAAATGTCATAAAATATAATTTTCTAGTGATCTAATGGAAATATTGTAGACCAGTGGTGGCGAACCTATGGCACGTGTGCCAGAGGGGGCACCCAGCCCCGCCTCCCCCTGTGCCCCCTCCTCACCAGCAGCACCCTGGAGGAGAGTCGCCCCCAGGCGCGGCCCGCACAGAGCAGCACAGCCAAGGACATAGCAGCAGGCAGCGGGCAAATTGAAACATTTCTAGGGATTTCATCAGTCTAATTAAAGCTACCTATGTGGTCCAGGCCCTGAATGACCCTTTTCCTCTTCATCTGAACAATAGAAGAGAGTGCTAGAATGCAACTGCAGAGCCAAAGGGTGGGTGACTATGGGAGATTCGGATGGGAGAGTACCATTATTTTTTTCACATTGATCAGGGAAGGCTGTGGTTTCTATTGGCTTCATTATTGTTCAAAAGTCAAAAAACCTTGGTGATTTCATTAAGTGGAAAGCTCTCTTGAGAAGCCAAGAAGCAAGAAGGGTGCCAGTAATTGTCTAAGGAGTGATAAGGAGGGCCTGTGCCCTCACCAATTCCCCTTCCAGTGGAAGGGAGGACCCTGGAGAAAACACACGAGGATTTGATCCTAGCCAAGCAAAAGCCAAGGGATGGGTGTGGGGAGGGAGCTCATCTACCTGGCTGAGAGAGGGGCCCTGCTTCCTCTAATAGGGGGAGGAGAAAAGATGCACAGCATTGGAGAGGAGGTGAAGAAGATAAAGTGGAAATGTCTGTTTCAACCAGTCCAGGGTAGAGATCGTTCTGGTCAATCAGGGACCTCTTCCCTCTCCATAAAACATGATTGCAGGTCTACCTGTCCTTCCTGTCGATTTCTTCTCTTCTCCTCTTGGCTCAAACAGTTCTTCTAGCCTCGAGAAGTCATAACAGGTCCAGATCCTCCTTGAAGTGTGGTGATCTTTGAATTAGGTTTCTACCCCTTGGCCACATTCTTTGCAGACCCCTAGCGAAGAGCTTTGTGCACATACTTAGTTGAGGAGCAGCTTTGCCTGGATCTCCCAGGATTCTGATTCCCAAGGCAAGGTATATTGTTTGCTGCCCTTCAAGGCCAGAAGCTTCTAAGAAGGCTGAGGTCTCCTCAAGTTTACTTCACAAGCATGAACTGGCACAGAGAAGAGAAGGGGTGACCATGGACTCTCTGCCCTCCTTTGGGTAGACCTCTCATGTTCTCCAAAAACAAAAAGCGATCACAGCAAGTGAGACAATTACCCCTGCCTCCAAACTTCTGCTTCTTTAGAAACCTTAGACTCTAAAGAGGATAAAGGGATAAGGGGACCAGCAATTATTGCCCAGGAAAGAAATGGGATCTGTGCAAGAGATCTTCCCATCTCCATTCTGCCCCTAACCCTTGGGAACTCGTGATTTGATGTGATCATGAGTTAATAAAAAGCTAATAAAAGACACCTGATTTGGTCAGGAACCTTGTTCAATGTCTATTAGGACCCAGGGCTTTAAGTCCAAATCTCTCAGAATGGCAGCTTCGTCAACCAGTTCTAAAGGAAGTACGCGTAAGGATTGAGCTGATCAAGTGACTCAAATCTTCTCGCTTTGAAAGTGCAACTGTGAGGATGAGGGGAAAGTTTGAAGTTCTGCCTGCTATCTGGGATAGTTTCTTCCTGTCACCAGTTTTATGGACTCTCTGGGGGATTTGAGTTGGAAGAAGTTTGAAACCTTTAAGCTGACAAGGTGCATCTTTCGCCCTTGGAGCCTGAAGGACCCATCATTCTTTGTCTATCCAAAATAATGAATGGGGGTGAGGGGGGTAGGGAAGGAGTTCTCCTCTTCCTGCTTTGTACATGCCCCCATTTCTTCAGTGCAGCAAAAGACCAATCTGAATCCAAATTGGAAGCTGGAAAAAGCAAGAGATTCTTGACAGCCATGAGTTGCTTTCCTATCTTTTCCAAAACTCTCCACCAAAGTTTAGCAAAAACAGGAAATAGCACTAAGTGGGAAATCCATGGAATCAGAATTCTTATTATCAGTTCCCTCTATCTTTGGGCAGCATTCAAATCCAATGTAAAGGCTCCAGTATCTTGAATGGAATGGTGGCAGGAGCTGCTTTCTGTTCAAGGGACAGAGAATGGGGAGGGGGGCAATAGAGAGAACAAGAACAGAATCTAGTTTGATCTCTTGCATCTTTGGATTAATTTTCCAAGGAGCAGGGATCACACTTCTAGAAAACATCAGAGAAATAAAATTGGGCAATGTGAGATTTAGACATGAGAATTAAAAAGCATTCCCACTTTGGAGAAGCAGCCTCTGATTACCTGAATGGCTTGAATTTAAATTGGTTCATAATAGGAATGACTGCTGAGAAAACATGATAAGTTTAAATCAGGGCTTTTCAACCAGTGGTAAGGGGACCATCTGTGGTACATTGGCACCTGGCAGGTTGTATGCGACCATCCTAGAAAAGTGGTAGCAGGGGAGGGGAATGAGCTGCACAAGCCTGAGCAAGAGATGGCTGGAGCTGTAGGGCTGTCAGGGCTCAGTGGAAGCGCCAGGATTAGCACCAGGCTCCAGCTGGAGCTTGGCAGTGATCCTGGTGTTTCTGCTGAGCCCTGAAGAAGCACCAATCAGCTGGAAAGCAGTACTGATCGTGGTGCTTCTGCTGAGCCCAGAAGAAATGCCAATCAGTTGGAATGTTGCAGTATCTCCAGGGTTTTGTGATTTACATTCAGATGCTTGGCAATTGATTCATATTTATGACGGCCCCAGGGTGAGGTGACCAAAACCTGCTGCAACCACCTAGCAGATAGGGGGAATAAAAACCAAACACCATCCCACCCCACCCCCACTGCCAATCCTCAACAGAAATGCTCACAACAATGAAAATCTCGGACAGGAGGAAGAGCGCCATCAGGTGGGCAGGCAGGTGTCTTGCTTGGCTGTGGCTTGGGGGGTACTTTTTTCAGTGCCATTGTAACTTCAAACAGTCACTAAGCAAACTGTTGTAAGTCGAGGATTACCTGTACTTTATCACTTTTTTGGGAGGTCATCAAGTTTTTCACACCTTGCTGGTGGTACTCGGATTTTGCCATATCCTAAAAGTGATACAATGGGTGAAAAGGTTGAAAAGCCCTGGTTTAAATAATAACAGGCAGGGTAAAAATAGTAATCTTTTGGACTTATTTTAGGAATTATGGGATGCTGCAAATGTCAGTGTTCTTATCTGAAATGACATGGCTGCATTCACACAACATTCTTAACCTGACTGATGAATTAATCCACTTTCTGGGTTTACCTCATACTTAGAAATATATAAACTAAATGGTCAGGGTTTGCATGCCATATTCAGTTAACCAAAAACCAAAACTCTCCCCAATGTTAACATTAATTTAGCTTAGTGCGTTGCATGCATGAAACCAGTAGGTTTTTAATTGACTTGGTTTATATATGGATTAGATTTCTATCCCACCTTTCATTCAGAGGCTCAAGGCAGCCTACATAACATCCCTAACCCTGCAGCAACAAGTCTCTGAGTTTGGTTGGGCTGGGAGAAAGAGTGATTGGCCCCAGATCACCCAGGTAGCCTCTGTGGCTGAGGGTGACCACAAAACAAGATGGGTTCGTAGGAATTGGTGTGTTGGCAGATGCCTAGTAATGTCCTCGGGGTACGTGATTTAAAAAACCTCTAAATGGCGGCTATGGTATCATTAAGCCTTCCTCAGTGATGGATACCATGCAATGATTTAGGAGAAAGTGGGGGAAAGAAAAGAGGTGACAAAAAAACCTATTCCACATTGAATTGTTCTATGGCCAGTTGGCCACATTGAGTCGGCTGGGGAGAATCAGACAGGATAAGTCAACCATGGTGAGCCGGCCACAGCGAGATTAGAGGTTAATTTATTTCCTCATAACAAAATATTTCTACAGTAGAAGGAGGGGCTACTGGGTTGGTATCAGTGAGCAAAGAACTCCTGGAAGAACTGTGGAAAAGAACTAGAATGGAAGAGTGTGAAACAACTAGAAAACTAAAATGCATTTAAACAGTGTTGCACTGTTGTAGATTTGTAACTGGATATCACTAGGGAAATTAACTGGCTAGTTGATGGGAGGTTGACAAGTTATTAAGTTTGTAGGTTTGTAATCTGCTTGTGCTTGTGATGATAGTCTGATTTGATATCACACCAGTCCACAGACTGTTCCTATCCTTTAAAATATACCCTGAATGAGTTAATGACTTTGATGAAAAATCTACTCCATGGCTTCAGTATCCAATGACTTCATCCTCTTTTTTTTTCTCCAGAGCAACGATGCCTCAGGGAGTGCTTGGAACTGGCTATACTTCATCCCTCTCATCATCATTGGATCCTTTTTTATGCTCAACCTTGTACTGGGGGTGCTTTCCGGGTAAGTATGTACGGTAGTACATCTGCCATAGAGGAAATGTATTAGTGCTTATGGTAGCTTTTTTCAATTCTGTAAAGAAAATACAGTTTACTGGCAACTGGATGCCCCAAATTCTGGTTTTTTTTCTGCCTTTGTATTTCTTCTGTGATGCCTTCCTGCGAATCAAGTGGTATAACAGAGATCATTCAGCATTGCTGTTCTATCTCTGACTACAGGGAGTTTGCCAAAGAAAGGGAGCGAGTAGAAAACCGGCGTGCATTTCTGAAGCTGAGAAGACAACAGCAAATTGAACGGGAGCTCAATGGCTATATGGAATGGATCTCCAAAGCAGGCAAGTCCTATGGATCTTCTATTCTTTGTTGGCCTAGTTTATTATTTTTAATAAACTGAATTTAAAGATTATATAAAATATTAGTGTATTGTAGCCATACTTTTATACTGCCTTTTTAACTAAAATCCACCAAAGTAGATGCAAAGTAAATCTAAAATAAACAAAAAAACTGACAAAGAAATCCTAAGCCTATCCATTTAACATTGGAATAAACGACTATGAAACAAAAGACCAATTACTCTCTACGTTTTGTGTCTCGACCTGTATCTTCTGTAGGTTTCTTTTGATGATTGTAAACTCAGTACAAAAAGTGCCCCAGGGTTCTGTCCTAAACTTGGTATAATTCAAAACTTTTGTACTTTTTTTCATAGAATGAAGAATACTCATCAGATTTGTAGGTGGTATCAAACTGAGGATGTTCTGCATTGGAAATCCGGTTCAGAAATTCAGCCAAATTAAAATAAATTGCAGCAGAGATAAATGTAAAGTCCTCTATTCCATATATAGGGAAAGCTGGACTCAAAGATTTGAGACTGGTTTACTACAGTAAATATAGAAAGATATCAGGAGAGCCTGAGATTGTATTAAGCAGATTATAAATTAAGTAACAATCAGTAGTGCAATATCAGCTAAAAAAATAGGAAGAGACATGTTAGACTTATCTGGCCCAACATTTTATTCCCACAATGAATGATGACCTAGGACAACGGTGTCTTTTATCTTCCCCAGCAAGAGGAACCGGTTTTCTGAATTTTCAGTCACATGGCTTTCTTGGATGACCCCAAGTTCTAATATTTTGAAAAAAAGGGGAAAAAACACTTCAATACATAACCTGTGTTTTATATATCATTTTTCTTCCTCTTTAATGTTTCCCTGTTTTTTTTTCATCATTTCCCCCCTAAGCTAACAAGTTCAGACCTTGTAACATTTAATTAGAGAAAACCTCTTCAGTTTCTTGATGATTTGGCTGCTCTTTTCTAGCTTTATTCTTAACAAGTACAGATACCAAATTATACTTAGATGCAGTTTGCCATTCAGCCTGAAATAAGATTGTAACTATTCTGAAACCAAGGCTTAATTTAGATTAACCTCCTTTAGTGTCTCATGATACTTGAGTTGAGATGGAAGGTGGAGGGGTAAGTAATAATGGTGAATTGAGCTTTTTAGAAGTAAATTTATTTCTGCAGCATTATCTCTATTATTTTGGCTTGGTTTTCAACTCTTTTCCTCCTGAAGATAGAATATTTTGCTCAGACTGCCAGCAATTGGAGATGGGTAGCATATTTTTCTTAATTGCAAAAGTTATTTAAAAAATCACTACTGTACAGTGTGAGCTATAAACCTAAAGCTGAGATTCAAATTGGCACGAGGTTAACATTTCTGGTTACTTTTGTAGAAGTTCTTAAGTAGAAGTTGCTGGCTACCCACTTGTATGGTGAGGCAGGGAATTCATGCCTTGATACAATATTAAAATATTCAATATTGATGACCTTCCTGAATAACATAATACAGAATAATAGAGTTGAAAGTGACCTTGGAAGTTTTTTAGTCCAATCCACTAGTCAAGCAGGAGACCCTCTGCCATTCTGGACAAATGGCTGTCCAATCTGTTCTTATTGTATTTTTTTACTTTTGTATTTAACTGGATTCTGAACTGGAATAGAATGTTTATCAAAAAGTGTTTCACACCAATTATTGCTAGCACCCACTTGGAAAGAGGTGGTATATTCCTTTATTTCCAGAGATATAGCTTTTCTTATAATAAAACTCTGGTGTTATATTTATTTTATTGTTTTTAACATGCTACTTTTATTCACAAAATAGGCTTCCAAGATAGTGCACAGAAATAAGTTAATATAATAACAGAACACACTGATTTATTTATTTAGGCTTCTATGTAGTTCCAGTCAGTCTTATTCTGGGTGACTTAAGTATTTTCCATTATAGTAAGTTTGTTAAACAATATGTTGATGAAGATTCACAATCATCCCCGTAGAGGTTTCTGGAAGTTGAATCATGGTAACTGCACCTCATTTCTAATTAGTTTAAAATGTTTCACTGCTTATCCAAATAGCTTCTTAGTCTAAGCAAGTTGGTTAAGGGGACCCCGTATACATATGTCTTCCAAGGAGGTTTCATTTCTTACTAATCTGGGTTGGCTCGTTAGGTGAGTAAGCAGAGAGTCTATGAGATGTAAATGTTCCAACTCCTAAACCAAGGGTAGGCAACCTTGCCTCTTTTATGACTCGTGGACTTCAACTCCCAGAATTCCTGAGCTAACTGGCTCAGGAATTCTGGGAGTTGAAGTCCACGAGTCATGAAAGAGCCAAGGTTGCCTACCCTTGTCCTAAACCCTTCACCCTATGTGGGTGATTAAATGTGGCCTCTCTTGTGAACCTGTGAAGATACATGAACCTTCATAGGAAGATTAAAACCACTTTAGGACCACTTAGGTTCAATGAGCCTATCCAGATTAGTAAGAATTGAAACTTCCCTGAAGGACATAAATATATGGGGTTCTCTTAACCAACTTGCTCAGACTGAAGAAACTACTTGGATAAGCAGTGAAACATTTTAAACTAATTAGAAATGAGGTGCAGTTGCCATGAACTCAACTTCCAGACTTTGTTAAATACAGACCAATTTAAAGAAGAAGAAAAAACAGTGTTCCACCTCTGTGACACTACTAATTCAGGAGAAGATTCAGAAGATACCTCCCTTCCGTAAAGGCATCCCTGAACATTCAGGTCTTAATGGTCTCCTGGAACCTTAGAAAGGGTAGGCAGCTGTTCTGGATGGGGAAGTGGTACATATTGCACATTACTTTTATAATGTTCAGGCTTTAACTAACATATTATGATTTTGCTATTGGGATTCAATTTAATTAAAGTTGTTTAATGACTGAACATTTGTTTGGGATTTTTTTTATTCTGAAAAAAAATGCTTCATTTTTAATTTGCAAAATATAGCACTCATCTTACAAGGATAAGCAGTGATATATTCAGTACAAATATTTTAGCATAAAAATATCTCACTGAGAATATATTTTAATTTTCCTGTGTTATTTACACAACTTTGATTATCACCACAAGGCAAGTCTAGTCATTTCCTTTATTTTTAAAAGATTTACCTTTATTTGCCTACTAATTTAATCATAATTATTACTGAACTAAATACTTTTGCCAAGCTATTGACTTCCGGTCCTGCGCAGTAGCGCAGCAGTCAAGGGGTTCGACTGAATTCAGCTTCGGCTGAATTTCTTCCTGTTAGGGGACCCTAAATGGGCTAGTAGCCACCCCGAAGAGGCAGCAAAGAAGGAAGTCCCAGGGACCACGGAGAGATGGTAGTCGACCCAATCGGTCCAGGAGAAGCCTTCCAGAAACCAACAGGAGAAAGGCTAGCCTAACTTCAGAGTCTAGCCCAAGCTACAAGCAACCGAAGTCAAAAGCACTATTTTAAGCTGATTGTAAACAGTGTGTTTGAATCTGGGTAAGAACATCGATTTTCTCTATCCTACCTATCAACTTTCCTGAAGAAAAAAAAATCCCAAGATGCAAAAAAACCTCTGAAAGTGAAGGAGCAGGATCTTTGCCCTACCCTTTTACTAATGGAAGCAGCAAATTAAACCTTTTGTGGAGGACCAAAACATATTGAAATGAAATTACTATAAAACTTAAATTTGGATAAGTTTGAAATTGCTGAATGGTTAAGATTCTCATTTTAAAGGCAATTTGTTCATTTTGAAAATTTGAAAAATAAACCGGTGCTGACATCTAGTGGTGGATGAAGACTATGACAGCTATGGCTTTCATACAGGACTTGGTAAAATCTGGAAAAAAACTAATTTCTACTTGTGACCTTCAAAGCTCTAACAATAGAGAACAGCTGTGACGAAAAAGAAAACAATTTGGGCTGCAGACAAAGAGAGACTTATAAAGTTTAGGGAACAAAAAAAACTTTTTTGAACTTTCTGGATAACAAGTATCTACTTAACTCTGACTCCAAAGTTATTCGCAGAGAAAAGAAAACTTGGATTCTTTGTCATCATGAAAAATCCGAGACATAGAAAGAACTTATCAAGAAAAAATAAATACCTTTCAAGAGGAGACATATGATATGTTTCAACTAATTCAAACAACAATGATTTTAAACCACAAAGAAATCCAGAATAACTTTGAAAATATAAATCAATTCATCTCCAATTTAACTTTACAACAAAAAATCCCAGAAAACAACAATAGAGAAGGAACAGATAAAACAGATAACTGGATACAAATTTGAGGATAGAGACTTAAAGATGGAACCTAACAAAACAAAGAAGTATGATTTAACCCAAGTAGAAAAAAAGACAAGAAATACTGGATTTGGAAAAGACAACTTATATTTTAACACCACAAAACAAATTTGAAGATAAGAAAAAAGATTGGACAAATGGGTTACAGAAATGTCAGGAAAACCCCTGAAGAGACAAAAAATGATAAGAGAAACAGAGAGAAAAAGAAAGAAAAAGATTTTCAACAAACATGAATGGGCAAATGCCTCTTACAACTATATTGTGCTTGACTTACCTTTTATATCTACAGTAACACTTACAAGAATATGGAAATATTCTTTGATTCAGCAGAACATATTGATCAAGAAAGATACTGGGCAAAAGAAAAAGGCTAAAGTGAAAATTAAGAAAATAAGCGATGGGATCTATCAAAGAGAATATTTAAAAAAGAAACACCTGTTGGAATATGGTTAAAGAAATAGAAAGATTTTGGATATGAATTTTATTTTAAGAGGGAAGAGCCCCTCAAGTAACATAGTACTTTCTTTTTCTTCTTTCTTCTTATTTTATTTCTTGATATGAGTCATATAAGAGTTAGAATGGCTTATATAAAGGAAATGTTTTAGATATTTAAATGTGATTGACTTTAAGAAAATTACAATGGATTAAAAAATGTTTTGAATAAGAGTTAAAAGACTAGAGGACTAGATTTATTAAATGGAATATTTAAAGATTAAATATATTTTTAATTATAGTAAAAAAGAACGGAAAATTTTTGGAAATAAATATGTATTAGGAAACATGGATTTTAAGTAGCATACTGTCCTTTTATTTTTCTTTATTCTTATTCTTATTTTCTTTTTTTAGTCTTATTTATTCCTTAAGAAAGATAAAAGTATTGGGATGGCTTATATGAGAAAAAATAGATTTAAATATTTAAATGTAATTAACTTTGAGAAAATCTTAACCAGTAAGAATGTTTTGAACATTGTGGGGAAAAAATGTAAACAAGAACTTCTGCCAAGCTATTATTAATCCCAAGGGGTTTAAGCATGTAACAAAGAATTTTACTATTTGTGTGTTTCTGTCTCCATCCTATATCTCCATATTTTCCTGATTGATATAAAAATGTCACAGTTATATTGTCCGAACCAAAGACATTTCCTGACAGAATTTTTCTGGAACATAGTCATGGAAACACAAAAATACCCATAAAACAAGATCAATAAATTGTGTTTCTTTTCATCAAGTTCTCATCTTGCTAAGGCTACTTTGTCCAGCTATCGTCTCTTTCAAATGGTTATCTATAGGAAACTATTTGCCAAAGTATGTCATCTATAGCTAGCCTCCTCTTTTTGGGGGTGGGGCAATTTGGCATCTTTCCATAGTTGGCAAATTACCTTTGCCTTCTTCGCTAATTTCAACTATTTCATTTAGAAGAAGTTATCCTGGCTGAAGATGACATAGAAGGAGAGCCTCGTCATCCCTTCGATGGTAAGCCACCATATTCCGCAAAATGTTCTGTGAGAGGTTTCTGAGACAGTAAAATCACAATTTTATTTATATGTCAACCTAATTTAACAAAAATTGTGTAAGTAATAGAGGTTCAGGTGTTCCTCACTTAATGATCATTTGTTAGTCGAAGTTATGACAGCACTGAATGAGAGGAATTATGACCAGTTCTTGTAGACATGATCATGATTTGGGCACTTGGCAGTCAGCTCACAGTTATGATGGTTGTAATGTCCCGCAGTCAGGGGATCATCATTTGTGACCTTCGCTACCAGCTTGTGACGAGCAAACAAGAGAAGCTAACAGAGGGTCACAAATGTTGACCACGTGATGTTGTGTCTAATGACCGTATAAGGTTTGCTTAAATGGCAGCCAGAACTGCTGCAACGGCCATTGTGAGTTAGTGAAGTCACATGATATAATGCTTTATGACTGTGTCGCTTTATGACCACCGGTCTCAATACTGTATGCAGTGCTGGATCTGAAACAATTGCAGTCTCATTACACCTCACTTCCACCTTTATGACTTCCATAAGAGCCTTATGACTTGGCTCTGCCAGATGACTTGGAGCCCTAACAGGGGAGTTTCACACTGGAGGTGGTGGATGAATTAAGAGCCAATCCCACCTCCCCGTTTCCAGCTCCCTCCTTCCCTATCATACAACTATGATTTTACTTGGATACTTCCATTTAATTGTATTAGGAATAATGCTGTAAGAGATGGGTAACAAATAAATTTAATAAATAAATAAATAAAATATCTGTTCAAAGCACCTAAAAAGTATTCTTGACTCACATGGTAGCTGCGTAAGTTCACAAGAACACTCATTTGATGAAGTTGTGTTGCAAGGGCAGCGGGGAAAAAAGTAAGAATATGAGGCTATACTGCTGCCACCTTCTTAACTCTTCTATAACTAAAACACATATTTTCCTGGAACCTTGCTGCTACTGTGTGAACTCAGGAAACTATGGATAGGTAACGTAAAAATGCTGGCACCAGGTCTAAAGCACTTTTGCTTACTGAAGTTCTGAATACTTCATTTCTCTAATAAAGCATATTCTATTTGATCAATAAGTCATGGTAGTTAACTGTAATAGTTATTAGTTATACAAAATCAAAGCTTTTCCAAGAAGGATAGAAAGACAACCTGCATCCCAAAGATGAATTGTAGCCCTTGCTGTAATGTGTGTGTTCATAGAAGTTCAGGACATACTTGTTCTATTAGCAAATGAATCAATACTTATTCACTGGAAACTGGTTCTCACTGTCCATAAGCCCTTTCCTTGCTTGCATCTAACTGCAGCACCAACATACTTTGGGAACTTTTTTTCCCCGCTGCAATATTTTCATGCCATTACTTTCATCTGTTCTCCAGCCTCGAGAGATCCTTAACTATACTAGTGTTAAAGTAGTATTTTTCCCCCCTTTTTCCTGACATAGGTTTTTCCATAGATACCAAGTGATATGATTTATTGACTATTCTATTGGTGGCATATAATTTGATCACTAGGGGTTGAAGTAAATACATATGGGTCATTCTAGACTGGTCTAGGCATGTCTCTTCCTTCTGATCTCTGCACATATATTCTAAAGACATTTTGCTTTGGTTATGGGACAGTCCCATCCTTCTGAATCAATATCTTCCCACTATTGCCAACCCTGAATACCAGCCTATCAGCAGTGCCAGTGGGGTGAGAGGTTAAAGCAGGAAAGAATGAGCTTCCTGCCTCATGGTACAAATCTTCCCTTGCCTGACAGCTATTGTTTAGGCTCCTTTTGAAGACAGCTGTTGTATTCTTCAAAACGAAGGCTAAATACATGTCAAAAAGGGACCCAAGTATCTGCAGATATCAGCTGATAACAAGTTCCTTTGAACACATCCACGCAAATGTCTTGTGCAAAACCCAGTTGAATTCTGAGAGATGAAAACACCCTTGTTGTTGTTAATTGCAAAGTCGTGTCCGACCCATCGCAACCCCATGGACAACGTTCCTCCAGGTCTTCCTGTCCTCTACCATCTTCTGGAGTCCATTTAAGCTCACGCCTACTGCTTCAGTGACTCCACCCAGCCACCTCATTCTCTGTCATCCCCTTCTTCTATTGCCCTCAATCTTACCCAGCATTAGGCCCTTCTCCAGTGAGTCCTTCCTTCTCATTAGGTGGCCAAAGTATTTGAGTTTCAACTTCAGGATCTGGCCTTCTAAAGAGCAGTTGGGGTTGATCTCTTCTAGGACTGACTGGTTTGAATGACTTGCAGTCCAAGGGACTTGCAGGAGTCTTTTCCAGCACCATAGTTCAAAGGCCTCAATTCTTTGTCGCTCAGCTTTTCTTATGGTCCAACTTTCACAGCCATACATTGCAACTGGGAAAACCATGGCCTTGACTATATGCACTTTTGTTGGCAGGGTAATATCTCTGCTTTTTAGTATGCTGTCTAGATTTGCCATAGCTTTCCTCCCCAGGAGCAAGCATCTTTTAATTTCTCGGTTGGTTGCAGTCCCCATCTGAGGTAAAAAATATTTTCTATCTAGTCCTAGTCTACTTTGAGAGTGATTGGTAGATTATTTTCCTCCTGACTACAATCATTTAGAGCAGGGTGTCAAACTCGCAACGTCACGTGACGTGTTGCGACGTTTCATGACCTTTTTTCCATTGACGGCAATGGGGTGGGCGCAGTTTTGCTATGATGCATCCAGCCCGTGGGCCACGGCAGTTTGACACCCCTGTTTTAGAGGGAGGGGGGAAAGGGCAGGATAATAATCACCCTGCCTCTATACCAGTGTTTCTCAACCTTGACAATTTTAAGGCATGTGGACTTCAACTCCCAGAATTCCACAGCCAGCAATGCTGGCTGTGGAATTCTGGGAGTTGAAGTCCACATGCCTTAAAATTGTCAAGGTTGAGAAACACTGCTCTATACAAAAATAATAAAGGCAGTACGATTTACCTGCCTTGTGCCTGTGGTAGGCATGGGGTTGCTAAAGTGGACAGGACTTTTGTCAGTATAGTTTCCTGCCAGCTCAAAGGCTGGCGGATAGCATTAATTTTGCCGTGAGGAAGAAACCTGGGAAAAAATTTCCACTTTTCTTACAAGCCAGCAGAGCAGCAATTTGGTATATAAAACTGCAGTTTTATGAAGACAGAGTTTGCCTGCCCATTCCATTTTTGCATTTCAAAGCACTTACAAATCCTTTTCATCTTACAAGCCTCTTGATGCTTGTTTGTCCACACGGAGGCCCATCTGGAATGTGAAGGAGGGAAAAACTACCTTTGTTTAAGAAGAGGGCAGTTTAGAATTTGAAAAAAGGTGTTCAAAGAAAAAACATTTGCCTTCTCTTTAAGCCACTTGCCCTCAAAGCTGCTTTTCCTATTGTCAAAGATATTCAAGGTTTCAAAGAAAAGTTTATGTTTTCCAATGAAAGCCAGTGGTCTAATGGCTAAGGCACCAAGCTAGAAAACCACAGATAGAGACTGTGAGTTCTAGTCCTGCCTTACGCATGAAAGTCAGCTGGGTCATTTGGGCCAATCACTCTCTTTCAGCCCAACACATCTCACATGGTTGTTGGGAAAATAGGAGAAGGAAGGAATATTAGGTACAGTATGTTTGCTGCCTTGAGTTATTTATTTTAAAAATAATGAGAAAAGTGGAATACAAAAAGTGATCTTCAGTTAGCTCCTGTAAGATGCACCTGGATACTGAAAGAATAAATAGATGTTTTACTTCCATTTCATCCCAGCTCAGGAGAATGTAAATTACATGATGATGATGATGATTTATTTATGAATTCATGAATAAAGGATGGAAGGGACCAGTTCAGTGACAAGTATTTTAGAAGCTATCAATACAGGACCAAAGAGAACTTAGCTAATGTAACATGCAATAAATATACTAAAATTGAAACAGAATTTATATAACAATAGCAACAACATCATCATCATCATGTATGCCTGATACCAGGGGTGGGATTCAAATATGTGAACAACCAGTTCTCTGTGTGGATGCTGCTTCTGGAAGTCCATTCTGGGCCTGGGCAACAAAAAATTAGCTACCGGTTCTGCCGAAGTGGTGCGAACTGGCTGAATCCCACCACTGCTGATACCTAATAATTACAGCAATTACATTCCAAAGGTCTTCTGGAATTGTGGTTCGGAATGTATATTGGGGAAGGCAGCATTATGGTAAATGATTTTAAAAAATTAGTGAATCTGATAAAGGGCCTTGAGGATAATGTCTGTTTTTCTTGTCATGTTCCTATTGTTGGAGCTCTTCGGAGGGCCACCATCAAGAAAAGCAAAACAGACTTGCTGAACCCAGAGGAAGCAGATGACCCACTGGCAGACATCTCTTCAGTAGGTAGGTTGGTCAAAAAAAAGAGTCAGGGTTCAGGGAGTCCTTGACCTATAACCATTTGTTTAGTGTCCATTCAGAGTTACAACAGCACTGAAACAAGTGACTTATGACATTTTTCACATGCCCATTGCAGCAGCCCCACGCTCACATGATCAAAATTCTGATGTTTGGCAGCTGGTTCATATTTATGATGGTTGCAGTGTTCTGGGGTCTTTCTGCAACCTTCTGACAAGCAAAACTAATATGGAAACCAGCATCGCTTAACAACCATGTTACTGACTTAATAATTGCAGTGATTTGTTTAACTACCATGTCAAGAAAAGTCGTAAAATGGGCAAAAGTCACTTAACAGCTGCCTTGCTTAACAGCAGAAATTTTGGGCTCAGTTGTGGTTGTAATACCAGGACCACTTCTGCTCTTCCACCTTTTCAAATTTGGAAAACCTGATCAAATTTTGAACCCACATTTTATCTTAACATGCATTTGAATATCCATTTATGTTTAATGATATATTTGTGATGTGTTAATGTATTGCCATCGTACATTGTTGCTCAACTATGGCTAAAGCACATGTCCTGAAATGTCACCATTTGAAATCAGTGTTTTAGCAAACTGAGCTATCTTTGTGGGCATAAATATGCAAATGCTGCATTTTTAGTACTACTTTTTATGAAGGGGACTAATTGTGTTCACTAACATTCTTGCTGAGAAGATGAATAGATAGGGGTTGACTAAATAATGGCAAAATATAGTATCAGCCTTGCAGATCCATCCTCCAGCAAGCATGCTAGAATTTGCTAGTCCAGAATGGTAAACACTAGCACCTTTAGAAGTGAACAATCACCTATCTTTCTGTCACCTTCCTTCTTGTCCATGGTGCATTACAGAGAAGATTGTGTTCAGAGAGTCTTGCTAGTATTTGTTTAAAAAATCACAGAAGACAAAGCAGGTTCACAATTATCTATTTCAACCATACCAAATAAAACAAGTTCATGAATTTCCACCCTATAGGCAGGTTATCTCAAATGAGTGGTTTCTCTTATGCTGCTAACTTTTTCTTCTTCCTGTTAGGTTCACCTTTTGCTCGAGCCAGCATCAAAAGTGTCACGCTGGAAAATGCTACTTTTTTTCACAAAAAAGAACGGAGATTGCGTTTCTATATCCGTCGTATTGTCAAAACTCAGGCCTTTTACTGGACAGTCCTCAGTCTGGTAGCTCTCAACACTTTGTGTGTTGCTATAGTACATTACAACCAGCCAGATTGGCTATCTGACTTCCTCTGTAAGTAGCAGAACCATGTACTTCTTTATAGAGTGGATGTATTAGCTGGAGGGGCTTGCAATAATTTAGGCTTTGTCATTTTTATTTAGTAGAAATCAGGATAGCATTTTAATTTGATGAGACAGTAATAATGAACTCTTCCCTTGATTAAATTCTATGATTAATTGAGATTTATATTTAAAAGTAGCCACAATTAAACTTCTTGGGAATAAGTGGATTTCAAACTGAAGATAGTTTACAGGAACTGAATTTAGGGTTTTTCATGTATTGTGCCATCTAAAAAGGGAGAAAAGATAACCTATAATATGTGTAGTGCCACCCGGTAGGGACCTCTTAAGTCCAGGCCCGCCCGACCTCCCCTCCAAGTGACCACCAGCCCAAGGAGGTCTCTCATATTGGCACCTCTGCCTAACAGGGCATGTAACATGGTGATATTCAGTCACGATCGGCAGCCATGCATATGGGGCAGTGACGGTAGCTCTCTCTCAATGGTGATTCATGTGGGATGATGGCAGTTGATCTCAGGCAATAAGAACTTACAGGAAAGATGGTAGTCTGTCTCTAGTAGCAGCAACCTGCTCAGAACGATGACAGTCAGCTTCTGGTGACAACAATTTTGCCTAAGACAATGGTAGTCAGTCTCTAATGACAGCAACTTGCCCAGGACGATGTTAATCAGTCTTTGATGACAACAACTTGCCTAGTATGATGGCAGTCAATTTCAGGCACTGGCAGAGGCCTCCCTTGTCCATTCTCCTCGTCCCTCTCTGACCTCACTCCATGTAATCCTTTTTATCTCCCCCAGCTGATCCTATAAAAAACCCTTACCTCCCACTAAAAGATGTATGTCAAACTTTTTCCTAACTCTCTCTCTCTGCCTAGCTTACTCCAATGGGGGAAAGGAATTAAAACTCCCCAAAGTACCCTCTTTCTCTCTCTTCATCTGGCCTGCCTGCAATGAAAGAGAAAGAAACAATAAAACTTCACCTTTCCCCCCCCCCCTCTCTCTCTCCCTGGCCTGCTTCAAACAAACAGCTCTGGCAAGCTACTCCCACTCTCTCTCTTTCTCTCTGCCTGGCCTGCTTCCAGCAAACTGCTCCAGCAACTACTCTCACTCTCTCTATCTCTCCCCCTTTCGTCTGGCTTGCCTGTAACGAAGCAAAAAAAGCAAACGCAAAAACCCCAGCTTCTTACTCTCCCTTTGACCAGCTGGCTCAGAACGGCAAGCTCCACCAAGCGTTTTCTCTTCCTCCCTTCTATTGGCTTCCTCCTCCTTTTTCTTCCCTCCCCACCCCACCACCAGACCCATGGCAGCTGCCGGAGCTCATCATCTTCCTGCCAAATCGGCAGGGCTCCTGCAAAGCCTCTCAGCTGGCCCCATTCTCACCCCAACTCAGCTACATATGGAATTGTTTGCCTTGTTGTTTCCTTTTCTAAGAATTATGGTGGTAGTTGCATCAAATTACAATTCCAAGAATTTGTTGCAGGAAACCATATTACAGTTAAAAGTTTCTTCCATGTAACTTTATTAGTTGATGCTTTTAATTAAAACTCCTCCTTGTATTTCTTTTTTATATATATATAATAATTTTTTATTTTTACAAACTCTCCCCCATACATATCCCATGATATTTATCAGATGTTAACATACATTCTTTTTACATTCATATATAAGATACTTTTAATAAAATGAAATAATCACATACACATGACTTTTAGTGTTGCTTGCCCATTTCCCCTTTCACTGTATCCACACTCCTTCTTCTCTACCTTCTTTCTCCCTTTCTTCTCTTCCCTACTTCCCTCTTCTTCCTCTCCTCTTCTCTTTCCTTCACCACTCTCCTTCCCTTTCTCCCACTTCTCCTCTTCTCCTCCAACCTGCCTACTTCCTTCTCCCCTCCTTTACTCTTTTATCTCTCCTCTCCTTTCTTCCCTCTCATCCCTCTTCAGATACAATTCAGGGGTACTATCCGAGCAACTCCGCTCTCCAAATTTCCCTATCTGTATTATATACAATAAGATTAATTTTCTCTTACATTAATACTTCTCCTTGTATTTCTGTGTATTTAGAGAGGCTGAAGAGATCCCTATATTTTAGAGAAAAGAACTTTAATAATTATTTTCTTGAAGTATGACATCTTTGCTTGAAAAAAGGAAAAGAACCCAATTATCACTAGCACTAATTATGTTACCCTAGTTTAGGTAATGAAATGTCTGCAAGAAAACAAACAAGTTCAGAGAGCACCAAGGACTCCTCAAGAACCCAATTATTAAATAAAAATTATTAAGCTGCAGTTCATTCATAATAGTTTAGTACTTTTATTAGGGAGAAATAAAATGGACTGGAATGTCAAGAGGGTTTTTTGACATATTGGAGCTTGTTAGCATTACAGATGGATCTTGGACTAATTGACTACATTAGAGAGAACTTCAGTTTTAATTCTGCTTCCAGCTGATTGTGAAAAATAATACACAACAGTATTAAAAGTGGTAGTATAGATATTTTTTTTGTTGAAGAGACTGTTTTTGTCTGTGTGCAAATATATAGCTAGGTGAGTCTCCATCCGTATAATGGAAATTTACCATATTTCATGAGAAATAGACCATAGAAATATTGGTTTAAAAATTAGAAGTTGCTATACGGTCACTTTTTTAAAAAGCTATTTCATTTTTGTTCCAAGTTGGAGTCATGCTTTATTATCTCTACATATCAGCAAACATTTTTAAAATATAAATACGAAAAAGAAATCCAGAATTGCTATGATGTAGCAAAACTGTAATTTAAGAGACTTTTCATGGTGTTAATTAGCTAACTTTGTTCTCTGGGAGGCAGTTGTCTTGTTTACTTTCTTGAATCTACAAAGATAATGTGATATATTGACATGTTTAAGTTAGAGAAGGCTAACAGAATCCATTCAAATGTAGGAAGATTGGAATTCCTATATAGTCAGACACAAGGATTTTTTGGCAGGTAGAAAGAAGTTTTGTGGATGGAAAAGTATAACTGACTTTTTCCCCTCTTCCTCCTTTGTTTGTTTCAGACTATGCAGAATTCATTTTCTTAGGGCTCTTTATGTCCGAAATGTTTATAAAAATGTATGGGCTTGGAACGCGGCCTTACTTTCATTCATCTTTCAACTGCTTTGATTGTGCTGTAAGTTTTTTCAGAATGTTAGCATTTTTGCTATTGTATGTACTGCAACTATTCCAGTGGATAATTTGGTGTATATTCTTCCTGCTTACAGTGAAGATACATTAGCTCTATAATTAGCTAGCACCCCAATGTGAATAACTTTAGAATAGAAATTTCATTTCCACAGGAAGTCCAGACCTAACTTACTACATAACAAAAGACCAGGAAATAAACTCCTATCAGACCTCATCAGCCAAAATACTTGCTTTGTATTTTTTTTCAATCAACCTGTTACTTGTATTATAGAAATATAATTCACTCATTGATGTATCTTATGGTCCTTAGGCTGAGTTTGTATTATGCAATTATAGTGTAGTTACATATTGGATGTTCTCTTACACTGTAGCTACTTTTGTTCATTCTTGAAAATGCAAGCCTTTGAAAGCAAATCGGGTGAAAAACAAGTTTATAGTGACTTCCAATGTTATAATTAAGTACTCTTAACTTTTCTAAATCTAATTCTACTTCCTAATATTGCCCCAAATATTTGCAGTTGCAGTATATTTATGTGTTAGAATTTTGAGACTAGCAAAACTCTCTTGGATTTTTTTCTTAGTGTTCCAAAGAATGGCTGAAATAGGTCAACAGGAACATTGCTGTGATACATTTCAGGCTGGGAACTTTATATTCAATTATTTAAACCTTGTCAAATACAGGAATTCATGATTTCCATCAGGTTGTCAGAAGTTGAACATATCTAAGGTTTTGTTACATTAACAAAATTCCCAGAATCAAATTCTTTAGTAGAGTCTTAGTACTGCTTATGATACTTCTAGGATGCATAGAAATTACGATGTACAGAGAAGAGCAACAAAGATGATTAGGGGACTGGAAGCTAAAACATATAAGGAATGGTTGCTGGAATTGGGTATGTCTAGTTTAAAGAAGAGAAGAACGAGGGGGGACATGATAGCCGTGTTCCAATATCTCAGGGGCTGCCACAAAGAAGAGGGAGTCAAGCTATTCTCCAAAGCGCCTGAAGGCAGAACAAGAAGCAATGGGTGGAAACTAATCAAGGAGAGAAGCAACCTAGAACTAAGAAGAAACTTCCTGACAGTTAGAACAATTAACCAGTGGAACAACCTGCCTCCAGAAGCGGTGAATGCTCCAACACTGGAAGTTTTTAAGAAGAGACTGGACAGCCATTTGTCTGAAATGGTATAGGGTTTCCTGCCTGAGCAGGGGATTGGACTAGATGACCACCAAGGTCCCTTCCAACATTATTATTATTATTATTATTATTATTATTATTATTATTATTATTTTCACAACATTTAATCTATTCCCTCTCCAAGAGCTATTACTTTAGAACATCCAAACCAGGTTGACTTGTCTGCTGCGTGACTGTCTCATTATGAATCAGGACTTAATTGGTTTCTATTCATATGCTATTTTATCTGGAAGCTTAAGGCTTCCACAACTGGAGAGGGAGGAGATAGCAGGGGCATTGTACAATCAGAAATACAGAATAACAGAGTTGGAAGGGACCTTGGAGGTCTTCTAGTCCAACCCCCTGCTCAGGCAGGAGACCCTAGACCAGTGGTTCTTAACCTTTTTGAACGAATCACCCCTTGAGCCAATGAGGAAGTTGTCATCGCCCCCCTCCCCCAACATAACCTCTCAATCACAACTTAAGAAATAATTCTTCAATTTATGCAAACACTTTTTTTTTGTTTTCTTTAAAACTGTCATCAGGACATATCGATGCAAATAATTTATTTCCAGGCTTTTTTCCATATCTCCATATTCTGGCCAATGGTATGGGTAGAGGCTGCTGTGCAACACGCCTGAAGATAAGCGATGCGTATTCACATATGTATGGCGTTCTGTACTGAAGCTAGCTGGAGGAACATTTGAAAACACAATTCAATCCACTAATAGCGAGCGATCTGATGTTTTTGTATGACAGATATACAGTGATTCACTGTACGAAAAAGTCTCAAAAGTGTCCACAAAACTTCTCGCTCCATTGCCCCCATATCGCTCCCTTTTTGTTCCATCGCCCCCTTGGAAAACAAAATCGCTCCCTGGGGGGCAATATCGCCCAGATTAAGAACCACTGCCCTAGACCACTTCAGATAAATAGACCAGCCAGGCCCCGATTCTATCAAGAAGGACACGGGTTGCCAACACCTTCTTCAGGAAAGGAGTGATTGCACACACACCCCGGAAACTGGAGGCCAACAGATGGGAGCCCCCTTCCCTTCCCTGCCACCCACAGAGCCGAGGAGCCACAGTGCCCCTTGAATCAAATCCCTCTTCCTCGTATAGGAATGGAACTTGGTTCTGAAGTTTTGTCCATTAGTGTTGCAGTTGCTCCTGCTTGGACATTATGTTGGACACTTGATAACAGCCACTGTATCAGCCATCAAAGTATTCCCCATGCAATCAGAGCATTGCTCACAACAGTTGAGTAGACTAGACAGGTTTATTGTATGCTTCCTTTAGTTATCAATAAAGAAAGGCAGAAATTTATTCTAGCCCCACTATGTTATTGGTTAGATAAGAAAAAAGGAAAAAAAAAAACAGATTAGCTGCATAAAGTTCCCAAACCCAATAGGAAGGTACTGTGATGCTCCAGCAATATTCCAGCAAAAAGGCAAGAGAGTGCTATGGAATAAAGAAGCTGCCATTGGTGGTAGCTGTTGCCAATGGAAAAGCTTCTTGTTCCGATAGTGAAACTACAGAACAGAATTCTCAGCAGTTGAGAAAGTGTAATCAAATGTCACCAAAATGAGATGGAATTTATCAATTTTAAGGACTGTTTAATTCCAGGAACCTCTAAAATGGCTTAGGAGAGGACTTTCCTCCTGCTTTTGAAACAGCACTGCATCTCTGTCTCCATCATTTCATTTTTAAGCAACTAAAATAATTTTCTTGTGCTTTCACTGTGGGAACAAGATGCAAAAACAGACATTTTCTTACTATGTATTTCTGTTCTCCCATCATGCTTGTGGATCCCAAAGGGTCTCCCTGAGTGGGTAGTAATCCCCTTAGGGATTCTGCCTGCCTTTCACATGAAGAGCTGGCCCATTGTCCACTTTTTCCTATGGATGCTAAGTTGCTCCAAGCAATAAGTTGGCATAGTTAAGTTTTCTTTGTTTCTCTTCATGGCTTTTAGGAATTGTTTATAATCCAAAATAGTCAGGAAAGTTCAATAGTTCCTCCTTAAAAAGGCAATACATGTTGCCTACACACTCCAGAACAGTGCATAGTATTTTATGCAACAGCTTCAATAAAAAAATTACCATATTTCAGTTTAATCATCCATAAATTTATGTCTGTAAGCAATTCATTCATTCATTTACAATTCATTGTAAATAATATCAGCTCTTCAATCCACAGAGAGCTGAGGCCTTAGATAACTTATCTTAATAAGAAAGCATAAAACTAGCTCTTAACAATTAGATGGCTCAGAAAAACTATTTGCATTGTCCAGCCATATAGTTCAAAAGAATATGAATAGAAACCTCCTTTAAAAGCTTAATTAAAGTTAAGGAATGCTTTTGGTGAAAACAAAGACAGAAAGTCAATGTAAATAAATCACCATTTTCTAGGGTATAACTATATTTTAGAAAATCACAGCAGGGTTCCTTTATTTTCAAATGTTTTTCCAAAGTGTAAGAAGTTATCTTATTTTACATCGGTCTGCTTGGCCCTCTAACCCAATACTAACAACTGTGACTGGCAATACAATACAACTTAATTAGAGTTCCCAGGGACTGGTCTCAGCTTGTGGTCTCTCACTGAATTATGATCTCTGGCTGTTTTTGTTTTCATACTTATGTCCAATTATACCTCAGCATATCTTGTATAGCTACATAATGCAAGTCCCAAAACTTGTTGACTTGCCTTGATTTTTGGCAGGTTATCATTGGGAGCATCTTTGAGGTCATTTGGGCTGCAATAAAGCCTGGCACCTCCTTTGGGATAAGCGTCTTACGAGCTCTCAGGTTACTGCGTATTTTCAAAGTCACAAAGTAAGTGGGCTTTCAGTCAATACATCAGAAGCGCATATAGTGAGTTAGTCTGTGAGTGTGCTTTTTTAAAATGTAGAGTTAAAGCAAGGATGTCAGCATAGGCTAGAGTTTATAACAGCTTTATCAAATGAAAATAGTTTGAGAATTAATATTCAATTAGCATGTTTTGCAAGAGAAAAGACTTCGTTTGGAGGATCAATTGTTAGACTAGACTAGAAGAGTGAAACGTAGGATCAAATCTGCATAAATGCTCTTGAATCAATATCCATCTTCCTGTCAAGGTGCCACTGAGACAGATCTTAAGACAATGTTTCTCTCTCAATCTTTGGCAAGATATTGTGAAGATGTAATAATATAAGAAAATCTTACATTACAAATATCTTTGAGCTAATAGAAAGAATAAAGCTATAGTAAATGTATAGTTTGCCAACATTTAAAACAAGATGAGCTGATGATTTATTAGAAAAGAAATGTAACTTTCTTTAAAAAAAACCCTATGAAATGAGTTGATGAAATGTATTAGGAAATATGCCAAGAAAATAATTTATTATTCAGTGGATTATCAGTATTGTCTGCATTCGCTTAAATTGCAGGCCCGAAAGGGCTTTCCATTTTGGAGGTGTGACTCTGATTAATATACATAGTTCATATGTGGATTTTTTTTGGCAGGTACTGGGCTTCCCTACGAAACCTAGTGGTATCTCTACTGAACTCCATGAAGTCCATCATCAGCCTTCTTTTCCTCCTTTTCCTCTTCATAGTCGTTTTTGCCCTTTTGGGAATGCAACTCTTTGGGGGCCAGTGAGTAATGGGAAATTGTGTGAGGTGGGGACCTTCCCTAATATATTCTTTGTGTGAATATCTGAGCCAGGTTTGAATGTCACAGTATCATTTTTGCTGACCCATAAGTTTATACATTTATCAGAGGGAAAACAACAACTGTGCTAATGAACAGCCTTTTCTCTTCCATTTGTCCTAGTTTATGCTGATATCATGAATTGTTGACTGCTTCCCGTGAAGTCTAAACCAAAAATCTTAATTACGTATTCTGCTTTCTAAGTACTATTCCAAACACAATGTTCCCTATCATATTTCTTAGGAACTGATTTAATAAAAATTGGAGCTGAGCCCAATAAAGGGAGAGATGGGACCACAAAGACATAAGGCTTTTTATATCCCAATAATCTATCATTACTCCAATTAAGTACCTTTACACACTGGAAGTACCTAAGTGTGAGCAAAAGGTTTTCTAAAGTAGAGGAAAGTGGTATTTTTACAAATATAAGATAGCTAGGATCCTGGCCTGCTTCCTAATATTCTTTTTTTTTATTGAAATTTTTTTATTTTTTAAAATATACAATCATTTATAAAAATACAATAAAATTTTAAAATAGAGAAACCCCCCCCCTTACCCTCCCTCCCACCCCCAACCCCCCTCCCTTCACTTCCCAGAGCAGAATACAGGGTTTAAAAAAAAAAAAGAAAATTATAATAATTAAGAAAAAAGAAAAAAAAAGAGAAAAAAAATATAATATTCTTGTGCTCGGGAATTTTTATGCTGCAGGCATTGCATGCAAAAACAATGGATGCTTGTTTATCTCAATTTTTCTTCCCCCTCCCAAATGCTTAAACCCATACTTACTATCCATGCCTATAATGATATTTCAATTAGACTTGGAAATAATTGCTTTCCTTTTCTCGCTCCTTCCCCACACAGTCATGCAGTAAATGCAGACAAATGCATAGAATGTGGAATACATTTGACTATAGTGGCATCCTCTCAAACAAACGACATGGTACCCAAAGGAGAAAATCCTGCAAGCACTTTTCCTCCTCCTTCGTAGTAAAAGCGCAAACATACATTCATTTGTACCCTGTTATAGTATCCCAAATCAGCTGCTTGAGAACATTGCCTGATTCCATCTTCTGATAGCCTGGCCTTTCCTATGTTCCATCTCCATACATCAATTTGCTCTGGAGGATGGAATCAGGTATAGGCCTGAGTGGTCTAGGAACAGAAAAATAAAAATAATGTAATATCTGTGATTACAATTTGTTTTTATCAAATTAATTCCCCCTGTAAAGGTTCAATTTTGATGATGGAACCCCGCCAACCAATTTTGACACTTTTCCAGCAGCAATAATGACGGTATTTCAGGTAAGAAGGGGGATGGGAAAGCTGTTTTTCTCTGACTTTTTTTTTTGTTTGTTTGTTTGTTTGTTTTGGTTTGGTACAAATCTTATAGATGAGCCAAATATACTCCACAGAGGTTCAGATAGCAATTTTTCATTTCCTTTTCTTGTAGTTTCCATAGATTCTCCCCTGATTTAAATGAGATAGCGATATGGTTGCAAAAGGACAACTAGAAGCATTATTGAGAAAAATTGGCAGCTAAATTTTGGAATGACTGCTGCTTTGGGGAGGAGACCAGCAGCAGCTGCTGGTGCAATGTTTTATTATTGTTCCTTGCTTTTTAGGTTTTGCATTGTAGTTGCATTCTGTAACTAAAATAACCCCATAGAACTTGGCTAACCATTCTGAAAGAAATAGTGTGTATTGTCACTTCAGTTTGTTTTGATTATCTTTTAAGTTTTTAATAGATAGATGGAAATCAGTACTGTACACGGTACACATGGGGTAATATATCACACACATTTACTGTATGTCAGAAAAAACTGGTTTAAACTTGAGCTTTATTATGATACAAACATCATTCTTTAGCCATTGCATTTACCATCTTAACTTCCAGGAAGAACCGTGGGCAAGGATGGTCATGCCTCTGTATGCCCATGTAAGACTCTGCTTTGTGAGTTGCACTGGTTGCTAGTTTGCTTCCAGGTGCAATTCTAGATGTTGGTTGCTACTTGATAAAGTCCTGCAGGAGGTTTAGTTACATAAGGGACTGCCTGTCTTCCATATTGTTTTGGAATGTAGCCCAGGTTCCCAGGAGGGAGGGTGTGCATTCCAGAGGAGCAAAAGACAGTGAAGTTTAGACAGCTCCTCCCTAGTAGTTCTCAGAGTACTTATTTCATAGTGGAAGTAGGCTGCTACAATTTGGCAAGTTTTCTTTCTATAAGTGAGGAACAATAAAGAGATACTTGGAGAACCTCAATGTGTCTTTCTTGGGTTTTGGCTTCTGATTCATATCATCTGCCCAACCAACTTCATCCTACATGGGTTGGCATGTTCTAGGTTCCTTCAGTTAAACAATACCATGTCTCTAGATTACAGAAGTGCATCTTCTCTGTAGCAGCACCCCCCCCCTCTTTTTTTGGCATGAGGTCGCCACTGAGATTCAAATGGCTTCTATCCTATTAGTGTTTCAAAATGTCTTGAAGAATTGGCTCTTCATCCAGGACTTTCGCTAGTGTGATTGAAATGCCTTTTTCTTTTCTTTGTTCTTATCTGGGTTATTTCTACCATCCTTACTCTTTTTTGTTTTGTGTTCTTTTCTTGTTTTAAATATTTTTTAACAATTTGTAAACCATCCATAGTTGCTGGGAAGGAGCTAGCATATTAATTTAATAAATTATTATTAAATGTTCTTTATTATATTTATTTTAGTTTGCATCATTTGAGTTATATACTTTATGGCTGGATTGATTTAATTTCCTTAAGGCTGTAGAAAAAAGCATGCTATACAGTAAGAAAAAAAAAAGGAGACATACAATGACATCAAGCTCTAATTCCCGCTCAGAATCTGTTTAGGATTGGGACACATTCTAAATATTGTAACATAGATAAAGAATTGGCATTATAACAAAAGAACTTGAAAGGCATTTGGTAGTAACATTCAAAAATAGAGTGACTGGGCTAAAATAAATATAATATGATTTATAGGATCTTTATGCTATCCCAATCATAGAACTTGCATATATTACATAAAGCATAACATTACAAATCATAGAAGAATAAAAAAGAAAAAAAACACCTAGCTGCTAACTTTGTCAATAACCACCTCAAATTTTTTACATTGGAGTCAAAAGTTTGCGGCAGCCACAGAGAAGGCAAGTTTCCCAGGGACTTAAAATAAGCAGCATGTATTCACAGCTCAAACGTGCAGGACATGTATTATCATTTGTTAATATTAGTTATTCAGTTTTAATGCAGTGCGATTCCAACCAACTCTGGGCAGCTCACCAAAATAAAAACAACATAAAAACAAATTACAATAAAATACACTGGAATGAATTACCCAAAATAACTACAAAATAATTACAAAAAGGCAATCCAGACTAAGTACAAAAACATCACAAACAGAGGATTCCCATCCACCTGACTCCAAGGCCTGGGAGAATAGGCAGAGGCTACTTAGAGCAGGTGAGCCCACAGATATTCAGAATCTGTACTGCGTAGGGCTGTATTGGTGATGACACTTTGAGTTGTATCCGGAAGTAGGATAGCAACCAAAGGAGAGGTCAGCTGGTCTGTTTGAACTGATGGAAGTATTCTTCAAAGGCAACCAGAAGTAGAGTGCATAGCAATAGCCAGGTATATGGTGATGAGGGCATAGTGGCGGTAGCTGAGCAGAAGCCTCCCAAAACCTGGTGCACTAATCAAGGCAAATGTTTTCCTTGCCATGATCTCTACGTTGTTCCAATAGGAGCCAGGAGTCCATGGGAATCTGTGGATCATGGACCGCTCCTTCAAGGGCCAGAGCCAAAGCTGGAGCTTCTATAAGAAGCCAAATTATTTGTGAAGAATCAGACACTGTTTTTTGCAGATTTGCAACTTGAACCTCTTTCAACCTAACCAGTTCCTTGCAAGTTCCAGAATCTAAGGCAGGATGGCTACAGCACCTTCTATTCAGTTCAGGTATATCAGCATACTGATGATATCTTATCACTATCAGCAGATGACCTTTTCCAGAAGTTTCACATAACTGTTAAATAAGAGGGTGAGAAATGTGAGAAAACTAAATAGCCAGGATTTTGAAGTATTTTCCCTTTGACTGGAACTGCCCACTTAGGCTTTTGCTTGATGCCTAGGTTATAGCAAAGATTCAGAAAATCCAGTTATTGGAACTCTATAGCTTTGTCTTAAACCTTCCTCTGAAAGAGAAGACTAGAGATAGGTGGAAATTGTCTAGTATTACCAAATATAATAGTACGTTTAAATTCTGACCTTCTTTGCGTGCAATATCATGATGTCAATTGAATTCCCCAGTTGATTATTAGTAAATCCACTTTGCAATTTTATAAATACTAAGAAATTTGACTGGGGTTGGAGTAATCAATTGACTTTTTCAGATTCTGACTGGTGAAGACTGGAATGAAGTGATGTATCATGGTATCCAATCTCAGGGCGGTGTTGATAAAGGAATGATGTTCTCAATCTATTTCATAGTCCTGACCTTGTTTGGTAACTGTATCCTTTTACAAAGAAATATATTATTATCCTATTTTAGAGATTAGATTGTGAATTATGCATGGAACGCACTGACCGGTGATTGCTACAGTACAAAGTAGGTGATTCTTCTATCTTGAGGATGTATTGCACAGCTAGAGAAATATTCCTTCTTCAGATCAGTGAGAGAATGCTGCTCCTTTTTAAGTAGTACAACTAAAGGAATGCAGCTTCTTTTTAAACATATCATCAATGCTCAAGATTCAAAGATAGGAGTTCAGCTAGGAATTCATTTCATTTAATTTGTGAAAAAGAAAGGCCATCACAAGCAGTCAAGCACTCTTACTAAAACCTGACTTCTAAGTCATTCAGAGCACTCTTTGAGAGCTTTATGGGAGGGGGGGAATCTGACAGTTAAATAACTATTGCTTTTGAGTAATTAAATTCAATGAACTCTGGGCAATCTTTGAGGGAAAGGCCTACAAGCAAACTGAAGGTATTGAATTTATTTTCTAAAATAAACTTAAATTAGATCATGAACAGTTTCTAATATTACCTTAACTCTCAATATTTAGACACTTTGCTCAATGTGTTCTTGGCTATTGCTGTGGATAATTTGGCCAATGCACAAGAGCTCACCAAGGTAAAGTTGCTTCTCTAGCAATGGACAACAGATTGTGGAATGCTTATTTACTACATGTGATTACTGAAGTGCAGGAAAGAATCATTACTCCATCCATTGAACAGCTATAAATCAATGATTTTCCAGTCAAAGCTAGCATTGTCATGTTGGATGATGACACCAAGTAGTACATATACATCTATGTCCAATCAAATTTAATCTCTATCTGATTGTTCTCCATGAATCAAATGTATATTTCTAGATGCATGGAATTGTAGGGCTGCTGAACTGACATCCACACTCTTTAAGACACACATGGATTTTGCAATTCAATATTAATTGCTGCTGTCCAAAAGTTGGTAATTTTTTTCAGAGCCTGGGCACCATCATTTGATATCAAATAATGGCACCTTCCCACCTTTGTTATCACTCAAGACCCACAAGATCTTACAAAGTCTCATGGAAGAATGCTGAAACCTTGTGAGATTTCATGCAAAATTTCGGCATACTCTCACTCTTCATGAGAGATTGCTCAAACCTTCCAAGTTTTAATGATCTCATGGGTATCTGCTTTTTTTAAATGTAATTTTAATTTAAAGGTTACATTGTGAAAGATAACCTAGAATGTGGGATCTTTTATTGCTAAGCTCTGGCATAAATTACATGATACAAATGAGCAAATCTTTGTGCTTGGTGAATCTGTTTCATGAAGTTCTAAGTTCTCACTTTCAGTTTAGCTTCATACTAGTGAAGATTTAGCTCTTGTCTGAATATGCTGCTCTGAAAAAATATCTAAAGCTATACATGAGTTCCATCCATCCTTTTAGCCCAAAAAATAGGTCAACACAATGTAAGCTTTACTGTGCCTCAGCCACAAGGCTGGGAAGCTGTGCTGTTCTTACAAATTTAATGTGGGACAATTTCAAGGCAGCAATTACTGGAGAAGAAGAGGAAAAAAAACCCTTTAACAGCAAACAATATCTGGCTGCCTCCACAGCAGTCTAGCAGTGAAATGCAAGTGATATCATAAGGAGATATTCCTGAAAAATAATCAGCAAGCCATTTTTGTGCTGCAGTAAGCAGGACATGAAGACAAATTCAAACTTTACACTTAAGCTTTACATTTGTTAATGCCAGAAAGGTTTTGTGCTTCTGGGCCTCTCTCTTTTATAAATACTTCGATCTGTTCTTATTCTGCATCGGTTCTACTATTTCTATGGCAGGGATGTCAAACTCAATTTCACTGAGGGCTGCATCAGCATTGCGGTTGCCCTGGGGGGGTGGGGGGGTGGCCAAAGTGGGTGCAGCCTAATTGGTGGGTGTGGATGGAGTGGGTGTGGCCTACTGGGTGGGTGTGGCCAGTTCTACAACGTTCGCGTCAAGGGTGCCTATGGGGGGCCTGGGCAGGAGTGGGACAGATCTGAGTGTCTCTGGCAGAAGGGGGTGGGACCGGGGCAAGTGCCAAGGCATGGTCCACTGGGGCAAGTGCCAAGATGACCACCACAAAATTGTACATTGGCTCCCGGCTGGCCTAGGCCAGGGCCAAGGCAGCGGAGGCCGTTCCCTCACTGTTTCCAGGATGGCTTCGCGGGCCACATGAAACCACTTCACAGGCCGCATCTGGCCCCCGGGCCTTGTGTTTGACATGTCTGTTCTATAGCATATAGTGGTGATCATAGGAGAAATACAGTCACTTCATTGAATTGTAAAGGTACATTATTAAGGGGGCTCCTGGCCTTATCTTATGAACAGCATGTAGCCACTTATATTCAAAGCAATAGATACAGCATGAAACAGAAGAATGGGTCTCAGCTTCAGTGGGAAAGATGAGGGCAGTAGCAGATCCTCTCTATCTTTGCAGGATGAACAAGAAGAAGAAGAAGCAGCTAACCAGAAACTTGCCCTCCAGAAGGCAAAGGAAGTAGCAGAAGTGAGTCCTCTTTCTGCAGCCAACATGTCAATAGCAGTGTAAGTGCTATATTGATGGATCTCTGCCCAATGTTACCCTGCGTTTTCTGCAAAGCAAGGCAGATTAATGCTCATTTCTGGATCTTGGTGAATGGTCTCCAGTGAAATAATATACTTGAGGGTCTGTCAAATGGTGGGGACAGCTTATGGAGGAAAATCATTCCTAATTTTGGTCTTTCATAATATATGTAGAAGTGTGGAGTACATAGGGAGAATTAAGGCAGGAAAATAAGCTGCATCCCAAATTATTTCTATCTTCCCATAACAGCAGGCAATACAAGGTAAGAATGAAGACACGTGTCTAATTATTAGTTTCTTAACAGACAGAAAGGTTCTCTGTTACATCTCAGAAAGAAATTAATATAATATTGAACATGGTTGTATATATCTGGATTCATTGTAGTTTTCCTGGAGGTCAGGAGCAATTCATAAATCAAGTATTTTATCTGGCCCTGCACGGTGCTTCCGGTCATACCAATAAAACTTCCAACTGAAAAGTTGTGTTATGTATATTCTGGAACATCAAACTTTGGTGATCAGCATAATAACGTTAAAAATGATGAGAATGCCAAATCCAATCTAAACATCTTGTTGACACTGTTACCAATGTCAATTGCAATTACAATCACCAATATTGGTATTTATGGATGGATGTACAACCTTTTGGGATCGAGAAATGCATTTATGTCATGTGAAATGTGTCAGAGGTTACATGCGTGCAGGAAAAAGCAAAACAAATTGTATCTCAAATTAAAAATCATTTATTTAGAAAATTCTTACCATTTTTACCTAGGTTGCTTTCATTCTGCCCACTCTTTCCAATTAATTTATCAAGTTTACAAAAACTAAGCAGCAGACCAAAAAGGGATACAATTGCTCAAATATTTTTTGGCCATAAAAGCCTAATTCACAGATGGTTACATATGCCATCTTCTTCTGGCTTACATTGTTTCTAAGAAGGTATAAACTGGATGTTCTGGAAAAAAAATATTGATTGAGTACAGATGACACAGTAGTATAGTACCACAGCAAGAATACTAGACCTCCTTAAGAGTCTGATTCTGAATACATCAGGATAGCTTTTCTTAACCTGAAAGCCCTTCAGATGTATTGATTTCAACTCTCAGTTCATAACCATAGCTAAGCTAATTGTACAATTCCAGGAATGAAGTCCACACCTTCAAAAATGCCTTAAGGTAGGAAATACTGGATTTAGACAGAGTTGCTATTGCACAGAGAACGTTTTAAGAATCTATACTTTTTTTCCCATAGTAAAGAGCAGCAAAAGAATCAAAAAGGCAACAAATCAGTTTGGGAACAGCGGACAACTGAAATGCGGAAACAGAATTTGCTGGCAAGTAGAGAGGCCCTATACAATGAGATGGATCCTGAGGATCATTGGAAAGTTACATACGCCCGACAAATGCGTCCAGATATGAAAACTCACTTAGACAGACCACTGGTGGTAGATCCTCAAGAAAATCGAAATAACAACACCAACAAGACACGTCCCAGTGAGCCACCTCTGAATCCCCACTTTGGGCAGCAACGGTCTGTGGAATTCCTACGAAAACCACCCCGTTACCATGCACATTCACGAGAACCCCACCTGTATGAGCGTCCCAACTCAGGAAGCTTGGAGCCTCGACACTCAAGGAGCAATAGCAAGGAAATTGATTTTAATCAAGAAAGTAGATGTCATGATATTGATTATCCCAGCAAGGAGCATAGTGTCATTCCAGAGCAGGGTTATCATGGTGACTGTGCCTCAGAGCGCATCAAAAATTTAGATCCCCACCGCTGGCGCCAAAGTAGCAAAGAAAGTCAGAGTGGATCACCTCGTATGGTAGATGGTGAACGGGAGCACCGGCGGCATAGAGCACACCGCCGAACACCAGATGAAGGAAGTGGTGAACAGAGTGGCAGAGTTGAGCGTCGCCCTCGGCATCGTGAGGGGAGCAGGCCTGTACGAACTGACATGGGTGGGGAACATCCTGATGGAGAAAGACGCCGACGACACCGGCATGCTGGACAGTCTACTTATGAAGTTGACGGCAAGGAACGTCGACACCGGCGCAGGAAGTGAGTAAGAACAGAACTGAAATAACAATCATTTGGGGTCTTCTGAAATGATGCCAAATAATTTCCTTACAATTGCTTTAGAATACCAACTCTCTTAAATTCTTATAAAAGGTTAAATAATTATTTTGAGATTTAGGGAGAAGTTTTTATTTGAATGAAATTACTTAGTCAAATTTCCCAAATGAGAACTGATTAGAATCTTAAAGAGATAAAACTCCTTTGGAGATAAATGCATTGCTAGTTAGAGCAGTGGTCCCCAACCTTTCCAGGTCCGTGAACAGGTAGTGGTGATGGCAGAAGGGTAGAGGGGATGGTTTTGATGCGCACAAGACACTTTCATGGGCTGGTTCTCAGCCTCAACCCCAATCCTTGAGTTAGAACATCTGATTTTGCAGTAGAGAATATATAATTTGCACACAAATGCATGCATGATAGTATTTCATCAATTGCCCTTCAGTGTTTATTTACATTTGGATTATTGTATAGCCAGTATTTCCACATGCATGGAATGTCAATGAATCTATAAAGGGGCATAGAGATAATATGGCAGTGCAAAATGTTTAGGAGGGACTGGGAAATGGACCATGGATGAAGAAAATAGCAATAACATTTAGGCTTATTACCATCCGATAGTGCTTTACAGCACTCTCTGGGCGGTTTACAATGTAGAAGCATTATTTGCATATTACCCCCCAAGAATCTGGGTCATAAAAGGTAGGTTTAGCAATAGAAAGTGTTCATACAAAGCTTCTTCCAGGCATATATTTAGAGTGTGGTGAGACTAAGAACAATCTGATGCTTTTAAATATTACATGTTGCCATATTAGTTGTATTTCTATGACATTTAAGAAATAATGTGTTGCTAACTTTTTACATGTTTTAATGTGCTACAGAGAAAACCAAGGATCTGGTCATCCACCAGGACCAAACCTATCTACCACAAGGCCAATCCAGCAAGATATGGGACGTTTAGAACCTCCAGTATCTGAGGATATTGACAACATGAAGAACAATAAATTGGCAACCAATGAAACTTCAAACTCACATCTCATCGGTCATTCTCAGAATGATCCTATCAAAGGAGGAAACCACTCAAATTTCACACCACACTGCACATCCCAAAATCAATCTATTCCTTTGGACCAACCATTTCTCAACTCTCAGAATTCTACCAGTCGCCAAACCCCCAATAACCCTGCCAATCCAGCCAGTCCTGGAGCTCCTAAAAATCCAGAGAACAGCCTTATTGTCACTAATCCCACAACCCAAAACAATCCACCCAAAACTGCCAAGAAATCAGAATACACAGCAGTGGAGATTCCACCTGTCTTCCCACCTCCAATCAATAATGCTATAATGCAAGGTGAGCACTAAGTTTACTTGATCAGTAGACTTAAAACCAGGTGACATGGACTTCAGGCAGAAAAGTTAGAATCATATGCATTTGATCCTGTGAATTAAGAGAGCATATAGGAACACCTCCGTGTGGGTATGAGAGAGGAAGTGTATTAAAAGCATAGTGAATATTAATACTATAACTTTGGGTACTAGTAAAGATGTCTTTGTATATTTCATTGAATGGCATGTTTTTATATTTCTCGAGAACATGTTTGAATGGACATTTTGAGTATATAAGTTGATCTCTACATTATTTTTTATTTGCATCTCCACAACTCTGTGTTGTACTTTACATGTTCTTACCAGTCAATAAGAATGCCAATCCAGAGCCTCTGCCAAAGAAAGAGGACGAGAAAAAAGAGGAAGATGATGATGAGGGAGGTGAAGATGGCCCCAAGCCTATGCCACCATACAGTTCTATGTTCATCCTCTCAACCACTAATCCGTAAGTTACTATACTGAACTGAAAGCAAATGGACTTTGTAAATCAGAAACAGATATCTAGAACTCTGATACCATTGTCGAAGTGCTGAGCAGCTGGTCCTTTAAATCACAAACCCGCCTTAGACCTAACAAGTGCCTAGAGATAGTCACCTGATTCCTAAGAGCCAATGAAAGAAAAGAAGGGGGTTCTGTCAAGGTTTCTCATGAAGAATTTTGGAGTTTTGTTGTGTGAGGGTGTTGACAGAGGTCCTAGATGAGGCAGTCACCTCCAGCAAGGTTGAAAGATATTTTGTTATAGTTAGAAATGCATTAGGGATTTTTACATTTAAACCATATGTATATAAACGTATTTTCTTTGGGTTATAGTTAATCAAGTTTATTTTTTGTTTCAATCCTGAAATTAACTGGTTGCCTTCTATCACCTGCCTTAGCCTTGTTGAGTTATTGATTCCCAAAATTTTTGTTTTGGTTTCACTTTTTTATTTAGTCACACCCAGGGTGGAATGAGGATTTCCGCTTCAATTCCCCCTGCCCCCCAATTCCCCAGAGAAAGAAAAAACTGGTTTGTTGAGACTTAATTTTGGTTATGATTATATTTTCTTGGAAAAAATAAAGGACAGATCTGAAAAGGGGGCAAATCTGAAAGAGGTTCATAAGGATAAAAAAAGTAATTGTTTATGATTAAAACATTGCTTTACAAAAGAAAAATCAATTTGATTAAAATTGTCTTATTAAAATATGATTAAAATTCTTATGTGGAATACTTGATTCAACAGGCTATGGTGTGATTTGATTTTTTAAAAAAAAATAGTTCTGATATAAATTAGATTGTCAAAAATGTGAGCTGGGTTCAAGCTTGTCAGCTTGTATTGGGAATGAGACTCAATTTATGTGAGTAATCTAAAATCGGTTTCAAAAACATCCAGTGGTTAAGTTTATGTGATAGTAACTATCAAACATCTATCTATATGCTACCTTGATTGCTTTCCAAATTTAGTTTGTGGTGTTGATGATCCCAGTCTTTTTATCTGACACACTGAGAGAAAGCTACATGTCTGCTTCACACATGATACTCTCTAATGCATCTTTGCCTATTTATGCTAGTTTTCGGCGCCTCTGTCATTACATTGTCAATCTGCGCTACTTTGAGATCTGCATTCTGATGGTGATTGCCATGAGCAGCATAGCATTGGCTGCTGAAGATCCTGTACAGCCAAGTGCTCCTCGTAACAATGTAAGTCCTTCTTTATCTCTATTGGTGCAGGGTACATAAATTACATCTCCTGTTCTCCTATTTCTGAGCCATGGGATACTAAAATTAATAGAGTATTAGTAATCCTAAAATGTGCAGGAGGTGAGAGCGGGCAAAGTATATTTTTAAATATTTTCAGCAAGGTGCCATCTCCACCAAAAATAAATCTTCTTAAGCAATTAAAGATATTTGTTTAGACTTTCCTCAATACTGATTGACCATCAGCAGTTTATTTCAAATTTGTGTTTGCTGATCCTGACCCAGATTGAAGTTGGACAGTATCCTAATAAGACACCTTCTTGCATAGGAGTCTTACCGAAAAAGCAAACAAGATGTGGTGAGATAAAGAGTTGTTTTGATTTCTTAGTTTCTTTATTCCTTCAGGATGGGGTGGGGTGGAAATCAACTTCACTTCTGTATTTGATATAGCAATACTTTATATATGAAGCCATGTTTATCACATAACATGCAACCAATTCATTGCTGCTTATAGATAAGAATCATGATCACGTAGCAGCTTATTAAGATCAAATACCTCTGACCAATTAACTTGGATTCTGTAATTCTGTATTTCTAGATAGATCACAGATCGAAGATTATTACTTTGGCTCAGTGGTGGGATTCAAATATGTGAATAACTGGTTGTCTGTGTGGATGCTGCTTCTGGAAGTCTATTCTGGGCCTGGGCAACAAAAAATTAGCTACCGGTTCTGCTGAAGTAGTGCGAACCAGCTGAATCCCACCACTGCTTTGGCTTTGTAATAACTTCACTGTGCAATATAAATCTTGATCACTCAGAGGTAGGGTTCAAATGAGTTAATTACAGCTACAACTGAAAACCATATCACATGTTCTTTTCTAGCTATATTTGTGCAAATTTTTGGTAAAATAAAATGGATAGAATAACTTGCCAGTGTAATTTATATCAGTGTTAAAATACAATTTTCTCAAGCCCCTCTCAGTTAAATTATGTTTAATTTTTACAGGGGGTACTTTTGATTTTTTTTCTCATGTATTTTCTAAGACTTACTTCATACAGGGATATATTTAAATGCCGAATGTATACCCTAGATTTTTGAGAATATTCCTTGAATGCAAATTAGGCTGAAATTGTTTAATTCTATACTGATTAGAATGCATTCTGTAAAAGCTTGAATTCTTTTCTCTTGCTCAAAAATCGTGCTTCTATTTAAATGGACCAAAGGGAGAGAAAGCAATAAATCAGAGCCTGGCTTCTGAGCTTCTTACACTGCGGTTTCTTTTTCAAGAACTTCTGAACATGTCTTGTGAGGTATCCCTAAGGAAACAGTAATGAATTAATTAGCACAGTATCTGGGGGGTGGGCAGGAAGCAGACTTTCTGCGTTAGGCAACAATAAGAAATCAGCATGTGGAAAAAATTCAAACATCCAAGAGCTGTACACCAACTGAAAACAAGGGTAACCAGAGGGAGTCTAAGCAGCAGTGACATTATTACAAATGGAGATTATTCATCTCCCAGGAAAATTAAACCCTCTCTAGATTAGAAGGTTCTGGGTGACAGAAAAGGACAATAATATAGTGTAATTGCACATCCAAAGCAGAAAAGTGGCTGCAATTCTGACAGAGAGAACAAGTAAACAAACCAACTAACCCAGTCCTTTTTGCCACTGCTACCAAATGGATAAACTGTATGCCTGAGCTTTCTTGCTTAATAGTCCTTAAACTTGGAGTTTAAATAATAGTCTAGAACACTCTCTATGTACTCAGTATAATATGGCGCCGAGCTAATGGTTAAATGAAAACATTTCCCTAAACAAATTTGCATTGTTGATATTTTAATAACATAAGGCAATTCAGTTTTGAAAAGATGTTTTTAAAAATATTGGAGAATAAGGATTATAATCCCACATTCAGTGCCAATTTTGGATGTTTATATTTTGATTGGCTGAGCTGTTTGCTTGTCTGTAGCTCAGCCTGATGTGTCTCCTTTTGAACTGGTTCCAATGGGATTTTTAAATCCTTGCAGACCTTTTCCTGCCTATGTCATACAATTCCTGTTTCCTTCTCATCTTTAAAATGTCCCGATTGCTGCTGATAATTGCTGCTATCTTCCCTAGGGGAAAAGAAATATTTCTGCCTCTAATTGTCTCTCTTTTGCAAGCCACTCTTTGCAGGTGTGTGGGTGTGTAATAAATTATCAGTGTTGCATAAACATTCTGGTAATCTTTTTTTTTTTTTTTTTTAAAGTTTTATAAATTTTACAAAAAAGAAAAAAGAATACAAAACAAGAGACAACATATACAAAAAAATAAAACTAAACAATACATATATAAAAAAAAAAACCCCCCACCCCTCCCAAAACCCCCCCCCTCCCTTCCCCCCCCCCCGTGCAACCCAAATGTTGGAGATGTGGTTATAAGGAGGCTTCCTATTATCATATTTGGTGGTCATGCAGAGAGATAAAAGCATTTTGGATCAAAATATGGTGGAATATCCAGAGAATTTTTAGAAGGAGGGTAAAATTTACTCCGCAATTATTTTTGTTAGGTATTGTTACAGACTGTGATACAAAGGAGGTTGTTTTGATGTTAAATTTGATTACAGCCGCTAGGCTGTTAGTAGGACAATATTGGAAGAAGGAATCCTTGCCTACATTGCAGGAATGGTTTCATAAAGTAGCTTATCTGGCGGAAATGGCAAAGATTTCGGCTTTCTTAAAGCAACAAACGCAAGAAAAGTTTCTTGCTGTTTGGGACAAATGGATAAAATTTATACAATTTAGATTGGGTATACAAAAATATTATATAGTTTTTTCATAAGTTTTATTTTTATATATATTATAGATAATCTTTTTATATATATATAAATATAAAGTTCTTAATTTAATTTTTATTTTTACTTTTTAAGCCTATATTCTGCTGTGGGAACATTCTGGTAATCTTAAGAAATGGTATCAGGGCTCAGTTCAAGACTCAGGGTGAACTTAAAAATGACTGCAAGAGATTTTAGTTGTAAGCCTTTTATTCATTTGAATGGCAGATTAACTTTCAGTTTTGCAAAAGTACAGATGCTATTTGTTGTGGGAGCAGCCTGTTCGTGTTAGTTTTAACCTTAGCCTAAAAATTATCATGCCCTTATTTTATTTGATATGCTTTATGCTGTTGTTTTGCAGACCTTCTCAATAAGTGTTGATTTATTTCAAATCAGTTTCCTATGTACAGATCATCTTGCTGTTTCCCCCTCACATTCATCTTTTTCCTAGGAACTTCAAAAATCAAAGGATAGCAATAGATATAGTGTCCTATTTAGAAATGATAATTCTCTGCTATAATTGAGGAGATAGCATCAGCAATAGCACTTAGATTTATATAGTACACTCCATAGTGCTTTACAGCACTCTCTGAGCAGTTTACAATGTCAGCACATTGCCCCCAACAGTCTGGGTCTTCATTTTACTGACCTTAGAAGGATGGAAGGCTGAGTCAACTTTGAGCCAGTCAGGATCGAACTCCTGGCTGTGAGCAGAGTTAACCTGCAATACTGCATTCTAACCACTGCACCACCATGGCTCCTGAAATGTTAAATCAACATACAATGTGAATTCAGCACTAATGTAAGGAAAAACAGCTGTTGAATCAAAGTACAGTATAAACTTTAATACTTTCATAATGAAAAGCACAGGCTTTGAAGACATACATCAACTTTCTGCTTATCCTTTTGTTAGTATGATAGGATTAATACTTTTCTTTAAAACATAACTTTAATTCATTAATTCAATATTTAATTCAAATGCTATATTGAAGTAGGGCAAATGGTATCTTTTAGAAGGAGGTGTATGTATACACATATGCACTCGCGTGCGCACACACACACACACACACACATTGCTCTTCAGTAAAACAAGGGACATTTATTTTCAATGTAATATGTTGCCCCAAGTGCCTAATAAAATTCAGTTCATTTGTCTGGTTTCTTACAGGAAAAACAATGTTGTTTCTTACAATGTGGGTATCACCAATTTATAAAGAAAGATTCTTTTCTTAGTTTTTATTATTATTTACTAGTTTGTTTCTTTATTCTTATCAATAGAGAATTATTCTTTTTTTCTTCAAAGATGGTCCCTCTTGACATTCTCAATCCAGACTGATTAAACCTAAGAACTTTTCTACACTTGGAGATGACAGTTATCTCAGGTCACTCCTCCTCCCTATGTCTCCATAATATTGTGAGCTCACATGAGACTAACAACTATCAGCTTGACTTCTACTCCTAGGAGAATGCTATGAAAACAATTTGCAGTGTTTCCTCTGGAGCTGCCAGAGAAGACCAGTTCTCACCTCGTGCAATTTCTCCCTTCCTGCCATAGAGTCTGGCACTCTTACCCTTTGCCACATTCACAACCAATTCCTCTGCACTGATACTTAGGAGGGGCACTGCTGCTCCCCAAATACAATAGTCTTTACAAAAAAAAATATTTGTAATACTCCCTGCAGCTGGAGGGTACGCTAGCCAACTCAAGAAGGGAAAGCTGAGGATAGCTGCTAAGTGCCATTCAGTTATGTGAATGTGCTGTTTACATGTATTTGGAGCTATAAGCCATGTGGGAAAGTTCTTATTTTAAAACCCATTTTCCCCATTCACCATCTTCATATTTTCCACCATGATTGCAGAGATTAGTTCATAGTGTACAAGGAAACTAATTCTTCCTGACCAAAGTAAAGCTAAACTGGTTTTGTTGTTTCAGAGATTCTGATCATGTGTGGGGTCTTTCCTTTGCTGGAAAGGAAAGGAATGCCTTTGGAATGCCTCCTCAAGATTTGCTCACTTCACACTGGTTCGATTGTAAGATCAGTTAGGCTCATTTATTTCAAAGGAGTTAGCAAGTCTTGAACTGTATATTTTTATTATTTTCTCTCCCTCCTATAGGTTCTTCGTTACTTTGATTATGTCTTCACAGGTGTCTTCACATTTGAAATGGTTGTTAAGGTTAGTAAGGTTAAAATCTGTTGGTGTGGGGTGGGGCTGTTGCAGGTATGATGTTTTGAGAACAAGAATTTATTTTCCCCCGTCCAGTAAACAATTCTGTATCCTTTCAACATTCTTCCTGAGTAATCACTGAAATAAGAAACTGCTGATGTGTTTACAAAAGCATTCACAAACCACCACCACACTTTCATCTTGGACCTAAGAAGAAGTGTAAGCAAAGCTACCATCATAAATGAGTACAATGTAGTGAACCAGATTTAAATGCTCAACCGTTTGAATTCACTATTTCATACACACATGCAATCAGACATTTTTTTCTCCTTACTAAATTTAGTTATGGGTATGATAATTTGATTCCAGAGAATTAACCCTAGCTAGCTCTTAAATTAGACCTAGCAAATAGGAGGAACTTTTTGGAATTAAAAAGCAAGCTCTTCTGTACTCACCTCACCTCTCCACTTTCAAACTATTCCAGCCGGTACTGTGTATCTTTTCTTACTTAGCCAGAAATATTTCTATACAAGCAAAGTTATGGTTATGATTATCTTATCTGGTAATATAATATATTTTAAAGACAAAATAAGGCCCTTTCTCCCATTCACAAAATAAATAGATGGAAATTTATGAATGCTTAAGATGTATGTATTGCAAGAGAAGAGACATATGTCAAATTAGGGTTTTCAGTCATGCTTTTACTTTCAATATCACCAATACTCTGATTTGTCAGTGAACCTAGCAGGTATTTGTAGTGGTTCAAGGAGCCAGATAAGTTGTATTATCAGATTATCAACTCTTTCTCCTATTTGCAAGGTCTAATAATAAACTAGCCTCAAGATTTGCTAATCTCTGGTTTATCTTGGAATGTGGCTTATGTCTTATTTTGGTGTTATGGTGCTAGTAGCATTTTTACTTCGCTGGTTGCTTTGTGGGTTGTAGGTTTCACCTTCTTGATTTTTTTTCAAGTGCATGCTAAATTATTCTCATGTGACAGAACATTTCCAACATAATAAGGCGAGAGTCAATATATCATGAAATACCATACCAGTATTTTTTTTTGAAATAGCTCTGAATTTAAAGGTTATTTTCCAGATTATTAAAGTGATATATTTAGCAGCACAAAAATGAGTACAGCTCTTGAAGAATATTTTTATAGTATGGTATTGATTCTAGTTGTAATGTGGGATAACAGCTCCTATGTGACAGAGTTTAAGAGAAGTAATCATAAATCCTAGACAGATTCATTTCTCTTCAAATACCATTTTGAAGCACCAACATCATAAAATACATGGGAGAGAATATTATGATTGTGAACATTATATATTCAGGAAAATAACAATAGTATTTAAAACTCTTACATTCTAGCGCACCAATTCTCAAGTATACCAATTCATGCATTCCAAAATCCTTTAGGCCAGACTTTGATCTCTGAACTAAATGTATTATTACTATTATTATTATTATTATTATTATTATTATTATTATTATTATTACTATTGTTACTATTATTACTATTATTACTATTATTATTATTATTTGCCCTATGCATACATATTGTAATTTATCCTTAGTATTTTTATTTTCTTGCGAGAAAGTTCCTTTTTAGACCCTTCACCTTCTCTTTTGTAAAGTGGGTTAGATTAATATTCAGATTGAATATTTCAGGGCTGCAGTTAATCAAAATCATGTGTATTGATTTGGAAACCTGAATTTCTTTGCTTTTTCTGGTTTTTGCAGATGATTGATTTAGGACTGATCCTTCATCGGGGCTCTTATTTTCGGGATCTGTGGAACATCTTGGATTTCATTGTAGTCAGTGGAGCATTAGTGGCATTTGCCTTCACGTAAGTTTCTTAGGGTTAGCTCTCTAGGGTTATAGTGCTTGCTTTCTTTTTCTCTTTTTGTTTTAAACAAGCATAGCTGCTTCTCCTTCAACTGGAAGAATTTCTTGTTGAAGTTTGATGCATGATGGATTGTTTATAATTTTCAACATCTATATGACTTGCCCACTGTTTTTCCTCATCATGTTCCCTCTTCCAATGCCAGCTTAAGTCATCATAGAGCATGGATACTCAGCTGTGTGTCCCCTCCCATGTGGCTTGGGATAGCCCTTGCATGTGGAGCTTTTCCCTGACAGACTGTTAGCAGAACAGTCGACTCTGCAAACGTTTGAGGCAACTTAACTGTCACAATAAGTTCCTATATTGTGTTCAGTAAATATGTTGTGATACTGCTTTCTGTGATTACAGTGCCAAACATTCACAAGATAGATATCCAGAATGAAAACTAGGAGTCAGTCTATTTATAGAGAGAGTTTTGCTACTTTCTTTTCAGATTGGTGGAAATAGTTTCTGAAATATAGAACCAACTTGTATTTATGAATGTTACATTTAGAGCAGTGGTTCTCAACCTGTGGGTCGGGACCCCATTTGGCATCGAATGACCATTTCACAGGGGTCGCCAAACAACGCAGTCCACCATTTTTTTTCCCCCTTTTCCTTAGCTGTGCTACTCCCTTTTATTCTATTGGCTTTTGAAAGCCAATAGAATAGATTCTCTTGAATAGAGTCTAATTCTATTGGCTTTCAAAAGCCAATATGAATTGTCCAGGCTGTCTCTGCCCTGCTGAGCCCGCCAAAAGTCCCATTCTGCAAACGGTGCTGCACCAGTTGAGTAGTCCTCGACTTACGACCGGTTGAGTAGTCCTCGACTTACGACCGGTTGGGGGTTGCGGCATTAAAAAGGTTGAGAACCACTGATTTAGAGTATGTTTGTTTTCTCACAATTTCTCATACTCCATCATCAAACTAATAACAACAATGGCTGTAATTGTCTTCATTGTCATATCATCAAGAATTGTGTGAGAAATCAATGTAGTCTGCTCTTGGTATATCAGTGAATTTGAAAAAAAAAAACATTCCAGTCAACCTCACTGACCTTAACTACTAGCTAGTAAATGCAATAAAGGTAAAAGTAAAGATTTCCTTGTCCAGTCATGTCCAGCTAAGGGAGTGGTGCTCATCTCTGTTTCTTGACCAAGGGAGCCAGTGTTGTCCAAAGACATCTTTTGTGGTGATGTGGCCAGCATGACTATATGCCAAAGGTGCACAAAACGCTGTTACTTTCCCACTGAAGTGGTACCTATTTATCTACTTGCATGCTAGATGGACAAGAGCTGGGGTAGGAACTGGAACTCACCCTGTTGTGCAGTACTCTGGTCTTGAACAGAGGCTTTCAACTTAGCCATCACCCTGAGCCATCACGCCCTTTCAGTAAATACAATAGTCAATGTTTATTACAAAATTCAGGTTATTCGAGGTCATACAAAAGCAGCTAGGAACTTTTCATTTGATATTTAAATTCTTTAAACAGATTACAGGGTGTGTCTTAAAACAGGGCTTTACACTTTAGATATAGAAGATTTAGTCAAAAGTTTTCTAATAAATATTGATATCATGGATTATAACCAAGGATCTTTTGGTTATAAGAAAATATAATATACAGAATACTATGATTTCTTTTTCAGTTAGCAGTTTCAGCTAACTATTATTTTCTCTGCATTACCACAAGTTCATTAGAAGCTATATACAGTAAACTGGCCCTAGTTCCTTATTTGTTTTGCCAAATAATAGAAGTCAAAGAGAAAAATACACAAGGGCACTATGGCGAATATAAACACTAGAGATGGAAAATGCTGTGCATAAATTATACTGCTGATTCTAAAAGTATACTATATCTTTGACATTAACCGAATCTGTAATTGCTCCCTTAGTGACAAATTCTAGAGGACAAATTAGCACCATTTTCTTTTCTCTATAGAAATAATTTTGAGATGCTTGGACCAATTTATAATAGAAATTGAAAGCAATGTCTCACACAATTGTCCCTAGTCTCATGACCCGAACATGTGGTGCCCTGAAAGGCCTACAAACTGTACTGACTTTAAAAATACCAAATTGGGGAAGACTGGTCTAACAGCTTTTTATTCATAATTATCAAAGTATATGGGATTTTTTAAAAAAGAATATTGCTTTAGTATTTAAAAGAAAAAGACGCAATAAATGTTTTAAAGATATTAAGAAAAAATACACATATTCCATTTCAATTTTTAAATAAAATATTACATGATCTTGTGAAAATTTATTGAACAGTCTTTTTATTGTATCATTACAGAACCAATTCATAAGCAGACAGATAACACATGTCATCAATCTAAGACTGTAAATCCAGAATGGAATTTTTCATTGTAAAAGAGTAATTTTTTGCTATGTCTAGTAAATTCATTGTTTTTTATATACAGTATTGCTCAATTTCAAAATGTTGCTGTATGATTTAGAATAAGCTATATTAAAACCATAGTACTTTAACCAGCAATATATAAAATCTTACACTAGGTAGTAAAGTAAAACAGAACAATGGTGGAAAACATACATCATATGCTTTACTGTCTCCTCTAACATGTATTCTTCCAGCATAGAATATAAAATCATTTCAAGCAACTGTCATGAATCTTAATATTATTCAATAAAAGGCTATAGATCTATAATAAAAACATTTCACTGTTGATAGTAATTCAGGAGTTTTAGTTGCTAATGCATCTGAACCAAATTGTAAAATCAGAAGGTAGGTCTTTAGAGATAAATGTCATTTTAAACATACAATTGCTGAGTAGTTTACAATTTGCCCTTTAATGATCATGAAAGATAGAAAGGGCAAGCAAAGAGGAGGGAAATGCAGTAAAGTTGGAAAAGATTATCTGATGAGGCCAAGCCTATATGTATTAGTTTCTTCATTGCAATGTTTAGAAAAAAGAGAGATTTTGCTCAGTTTGTTTTTACTTTTTTTGTATTATTTAATTGTTTTCCATCAAGTTTTTACAGTACCTTAGAAGATAAAATACATACATATCTATTTATTCCTATTTATTTCCCTTTTTAACAGCATATCATAAAAATAAAATATGATCCAGAAGTCCAGAAATTGACTCGATTTATGTAGTCAGCATTTCTGCTGAAATATTTATCTTACTTTTCACCTTACCTAATTGTCCTAATTCATTTTCAAGCTCTTTCATATTATAGCAAATGTCATATACAGTATGTGGGTGATGTGTGGGGTGTGTGGGATGTGTGTGTGTGTGTGTGTGTGTGTGTGTGTGTGTGTGTGAGAGAGAGAGAGAGAGAGAGAGAGAGAGAGAGAGAGAGAGATCAAATGGCACATTTGATCTCCTTTGAGTACACTTCTTATTGTATGCTTTGCAAGATCACCTACTTTGCCTAGGCTGTTTCCTTTGGCAGAGTCAGTTTGCTGCATTGGGGTTACAAGAAACATTCTCTAGTATTGTTCAGAAGATGGTGAGAAGATTTTGCTCAGTAGATATAATTGGCCACTACTTACAAGAGCCTGAATTCTGAATTTTTGTTGATTGGTTCTGTGGAGCTTAAGGAATGGTCTTATATGGTCTGATCACAGAGAGAGATCTTCTTTCATAGCATGTAGTTGTGGCTTGGAAGGAGGAAACCCAGCCATTCTCTAGGATCCATTCTCTACCATCCTTGTTTTGTGAACATGCATATGTCAGGCCTGCAGATTCTGTCCACATAGGCTTCTCCTACAATGAAGCAGCCAGTCTTGTACTCTTATACACTCACATGACATCTCCCCCTAGTACAGTGTTTCTCAACCTTGACAATTTTAAGGCATGTGGACTTCAACTCCCAGAATTCCACAGCCAGCATTGCCTTAAAATTGTCAAGATTGAGAAACACTGCCCTAGTAGGAGCAAAATCTGAGCATTTGGATCAAGTGATAAAATATGTCTCACTATTGGCTGCAATTGGAGCTAGTGTAATGCAACTTTTAGTATGTGAATCTCTTCACTGTTGGCCAATGTGCTATCACAGCTGATAGAAGGAAGGTGATTCTACCCCTGATGAATCTGATCAGAAGACACTTGCTTTTCTTCATGAAGTTTTTATAGTACCCTACACTAGAAGATATTTAGGGCCTGCTATTCAATGTGGGCACTGGGGGGGGGGGCATTCTGTTTACCTCACAGTAGCACTAACTTTGGAAAGTCAGCCATTCTTTGGGTGCATTATTTCAACATGATTCAAGCTAACATTATTGCTAAATCACAACAGATGGGTTAAAATTTTACACCAAGCTGAAATCTGATAAAGCATAACTAACATTCTTAAAATTTTTATCCTAGTAAGTCAATGGCATTGCCTGGGTAAAGAAGACACTATTTTACCCACATTTGCCAAAGGTGCTCAAAGGGTAATTAGTTAGACGAGGAAGCTAGTTGTGCTACTTGTAAACTTGATCAGCATATAAATAAAAGCATCAAAATCACCTGGAGAAATAAGTTTTTTGCATGGAACTTCTTTTACTGTACTGTTTTCATAAGAAACAATACATTTGAAATCCATTTAACAGACAGCTTGCCTTATACTATTTCAGAGTTTCTATACATTAATTCAAAATAAGCCTATTGTTTTTAACAAGAATAAATTGAAGTGGTGGTTAATTTACAATAAAGTAGAAATGGAATTTCAATTCAAAACATGCTGGGTGCAAAGAATGGTCTAAAAATAGAATGGCAAGAAATGGTAAGATAAAAAAGTTGTGATTTTCTGTTATTCTGAAATGTTGATGATGATCACCTCTTCTAAGCAAAGGTTCCCTAGATGTGTAGTCCCTATTACAAATGTTAGGTTCTATTCGCTTTGTGGTGGATTAAAAGACATGCAGAATAAGAGAAGGCACTTGGAACAGAACATTCTACAATTAGCATATTTGTTTGCTCAGCTGTAGAACAGCCATAAGGGGAAGAATTCTGAGTCAGATGTTGACCAAAGTTTGTGTAATGAGCAAGCTCCAGTAAGATTGTAAAGGAATGAATGCTTTTGCAGTTACCTAATGCTATGTGTGGTGAGAATTCAGTTGGTTCTAACAAACTCCCATAAATATTCCTTCTTTTGAATTTAAGGTATTTCCAAGTAAGTTGTTATTCTATAATCACTTTGTCATTCATGGAATGAGTAAAACTGACAGCTTATATTTTTATTCCTCCATGTTTTTCTACTGCTTTTATCATTTCTTATTATGAAATTAATAGGATGGAATAGGTTCATGATTTGTTTTGAATCGTAAGCAATAGCTTATTTTGAAACACTTTTAAACTTGATCCTAATATTTCCTGGATAGAATAAGGTGAGCTATGAATTCAGTCTGCAAGAAATTTACATTTCTTTTGGTAATCTGTAATGTTTCTATTTCAAAAGCAGCAGAAGTGAATCAGCTATACAGTCTGTACAGTTGGAGATGACAAAAATGGAATTGGTTTATCAGTAAAGTGAGGCTCAAGAACATATAAATGGAAATAGATCTTATTTTCATGTTATTTTCTGAGATCTACAAACTTGGAAAAGTGGCAGAATATGGTTAAATTTCAAAGAATAAATTACCTTTGCTTAACTTACCTTTTTCTAACATCTTTTCCTTCATGCTCCCTTGATCACTATTGATATGGTTATTTTTCTGTCTTAACTCACCAACTTCATCAGAATGTAGCAACTGTGAGAAATTGCTTTTTTTAGTCAGTCCATTTCAGTTAACTGAATAAACATCTGTACTATTTTCTGCTGTGTTGCTATCACCTGACACTATATACTATTGTGGATTTTATTGTGTCATACTTCATATTATTATCCATCCCTCAGAGGTTATGTTCTGGAATATAAGGCACCTTTCATGGCTATTTTCCAGGTTTGAGCTGAGAATCTCAATAAACCTCAGTTGTGTTACGAAAAGCTTAAAACCTGTAACTATGATGCTATCACAATCTGTTTTGGGATAAAAATATTATTTTGATAGAGAAAGTTACCAGAGCTGCATGAAAAAGTTGGATTTCTATCATTGTTGGTGAATGCACCAAAGTACATTCTATCCATAGTTCTATGCAAACCATGAAGCCTGATCTCTCCATATTTATTGTTTAAATTCATTGTTCATTGTTCATATTTATTATTAAAATATTCCATATTTTCATATCTATCTCACAGTAGTAATTGTGAGAGGATCAAAGTGTCCTGGTAGACCACCACTTAAGTATGAATCAGCAGTGTGCTGTAGCTGCCAATAAGCCAATGCAGTCCTAGACTATATCAATAAAGGGATAGCATCAAGACAACAAGAAGCACTATCACTTCTTGTTGTCTTGATGCTATCCCTCTGTTGATTACTCTGTGCTGGTGAGACTACACTTAGAATATGGCATTCAGTTCTGACTACCAAAATATTAAAAACATGTTGAGATCCTGGAAAATGTGCAGAGAAGAGCAACAAAGATTATAAAGAGTCTGGAGGCTAAATTGTGTGACAAATGCTTGAGGGAGCTAGGTATGTTTAATCTATCAAAGAGAAGAATTAGGAAGGGCATGGTAACTATCTTGAAGGGCTGTCACTAAAAAGATGGTAACTATCTTGAAGGGCTGTCACTAAAAAGATGGTAACTATCTTGAAGGGCTGTCACTAAAAAGAGGGGATTGACTTATTCTCCAAGGCACCAGGGAACAGGACAAGAAGTAATGGGTACAAGCTTGGTAAAGAGAGGGAAGGAAAAAATTTTCTAACAGTAAGAATGAAATCATTTGCCTCCTGGGGTTGTGGGTACTCCATCACTGGAGGTTTTCAAAAACAGACTGGACAACCATTTGACTGGGATAGCAAAAGACTCCTGCCTTGAGTAAGGGATTAGACTTGAAGACCCCCAAGATCCCTTTCAGCCCTATGATTCTAGCATTTCTATTGGAACTAAGATTCACCGTGTTTTGACAACCTCAAGTATACCTTTCCCCAGCCTATTGCCTTCCCAGAGCGTGTATAATTCTCACAATCTCTAACCAGCATAACAAATGGCCATGCTGCCTCTAGAACAGGGGTCCTCAATCTTGGCAACTTTAAGACTTGTGGACTTCAACTCCCAGAATTCCTCAGCCAGCAAAGCTGGGATTCTGGGAGTTGAAGTCCACAAGTCCATGCTCTAGAATATAGGGCTTACTCATTTGTTAATTGATGTGTGTTCTGCCTATGGTTGAATCAGCCAAAAGCTATGCCAGTATGAAATTTAATGTTCCCATCACTAAATCTAATTTTGCTTCTATTGCTTGATGACTCATTTTATGTCACCTGAATTCCCTGCAAGGTAATGAGTAAGAAAGCTTTACAAATCTTATATACCTTGATTCTCCCCTTAAACAATATTGGAAATGGGGGGGACACTATTTTAACACTTGTGCTACTAAGAATTCCATATCTGAGGTTCCAATGCATGGGAACGTGGCAGAGAACAATGTTGGTAGGACATATCTGTAACACAATTAAATGCAAATAGGAAAAGTCCTTATGGGACTTGTATAATAATCCAAGACATTTGGAATACAATAAGTTAGTAAAGGTTATTCTATTAAGTATACTTAGGAAATTAGAGTTTTTCAATTGAACATCAATCCTCAATCAAGATTTATTTTCTGGTTAGTGATGAAGGAATTATGGTTGCCCTCCATTTAGTGAAAATTTTCCAAGAAAAGAATTTAAGATAATATTTCAAGTAAAAATCAATCTGTAAGTATTAGCTAAGGGATGAACAATAAAGATATCTGGATGCTGCCCTTTGCCATCATGTTATTTTTAATCAGAAATTTTAGAGATATATAGGCTTGTCCTTGATGTAGGACATGCAAAACTTCAGTGACACTATGCAAGTGGAGAGTTGTCTCAACAGTAGAAAGCTCAGCTTGCTAACCTATACAGGTGTAGATAATTTACTGAAGTAAATTTCTTCCATCTACTTCAAGGCAGTAACTGAAGAACAAATAAATGTCCTGTCTGTAAAAGGCATTACATAGTATGGTGTCATTAGATTTTATGTTCTGTGTTCTCTTTCTGATTGTTACTCACTTTCTTTGTCTCTTCCTTTCACTGCCACTTCACAACAGGAGCAGCTCACGGTAAAGTCTTTCTGTCTGTCTGCCTCTATCACTTTCTCTCCCAAACACTCTCTGGTATACATGCTATTTATTTATGTGAATCTGATTATGCATCATTGTGTGTGACTAATATGATTGGAAAGCAAAACAAATTGGAGCTCTTTTTATCTCTCTCCAAACATCAGACATTTCATTGATTTTGTTCCATCTCACACTGAGTTAGGATTTATGTGCCTTCCTGTCAGGTTACACTTTCTAAGAATCAGTTTCGTTGTAGTAAATTTGAACTAGGTACAGTAGTTGGTTTTTGCCTTGTTGGGCCACTGAAAACAACATACCAGTTAACCTGAGGACAAGCAATGGTGGCTGGAACATTGTTGGGTCTGGTCAAAAAGTCCCGATTGCTAGGAATTGTGGCAAAGGTAGTCCTTTGTTCTGCGATCAAATATTTCATTCTCTGTGCTGAATATTTATTTTTAATAGCCACTAAATATTTACGCTAGAGAAGAAGATATGTTGCAAGGCTGCTAAAAGAAACAGACTGGAATATGTTACTGCTAGACATCACAATACTCTTACAGTATGATTCATTAATTAGAATTAATATAAAAATCATCAATACATTATGAAGTCACTATCTAGAACCAGTTATTTGTCTCTCTCCTATAGAAGCATTACAAACAGAAATTCTTCAAAAGGCTGCCATGGTAGCACTGATGCTGAGAGTAAATATATGTTTAATCAAATGTCAAAAACCATCTATCCATCCTAAAAATATTTTTTTGAGCACCAGATACTTTGTATTGTCAGACTGCTCTTAGGAGTTGACATAAATGTAAAATCTTCATCATTGTCATCATCATCACTATCCAACAATGTAAGCTAGATAAAGCATCAAAGAAGCAGTTACAGTAATGATGGCTACTTATATAGTTATGTTACTTGGACATTTTATTTATGTATTTGATTTCTATAGCCACCCCCCTCAACCAGCGTCTCTGAGCAGCATATATCATAAAAATATTCTGAGCAGCATATATCATAAAAAAACTTCCAATTTTACGTGGGAGAAAACCCGATTGGAAGTGTCTTGGCGACGTTTCGACGAAGTCACACGAAGCTGAAAGCACCAGCCTGAAGATGACGAATGGGACTTCGTCGAAACATCGCCAAGACACTTCCAATTTTACGCGGGAGAAAACCCGAACAACCAAAGACCTACATACAAATACCCGCGAAAACCTCAGAAAACAAATATATATATATATATATATATATATATATATATATATATATATATATATAGTTGCCAAATAAAGTTTTTGGCAGGCCCAGGCACAAAACTAGGTCTTTTTAGCCATATAGATTTTCTTAATCTATATCTATAATGTAGTTATTTTTATTTCTCAAGTCAGTCCAGTACTAGAAAAACTGACTTGCAGGCTTTAAATGTATCTTCATTCTATTCAGGTTTTAAAAGCTGCTTCATTACATATAAAAATCAGAAACTTGAACACTTGCCAAGCTATTGGATATTGGAAAGAATGACAGTGTCCTTTAAATAAACATCCTACGTCATTAAGCATCAGTGTTTAGATGGCTTTGAAATATTGTAATATCTACAAAGCCACTATGTCTACGAGGGAGTCAGAACTGAGGGACGTTAGGAGTATTCGAAAAAGTTCTATAAAGGTATTCTGTTTATAGGGAAATACAAAAAATAACCTGGCCATCCAAAGTAATTCAAGTACAATTTGTTGAAACCTGGGGTCTAAAGTGGCATTTGAGTGAGAAAGGAACTAATTAGCCTGAAGCTACTTAGGGCTCATGTTTAAAATGAATGAAAAAGCCAGATATCTCCATAAAACTATTCTTGGTTTATATCTTTTACATGTGTTTTTTTATAGTAATGAGTAATTGATAAATTTATTTATCATTCTTCAGCCAATTTTTGCTAGCTTTTCAGATGTTTTCTTTGGAAGATGTAGTTAATTTACTGAGCTTACAGGCTATTAAAAAAAAGAGGCTAGTTTCTCCAACCTTGGAGTAAAATTGACGCTGGGTGGAATCAAAGCAATTAGACTGAATCTAAATAGTTTGTGCTTTTTGTCTTTTATTCCTTGGGTCCATGTATTTTATGTGTGAAACTTATCGGCATGCAAGCTTGCTCAGATGAGCTTGCTGGAATTTCCTCATATAGTTCAGCCCAGGAGAGAAGGCTCTGCAAGGGTCATTTGCACAACATAATCAACCCAGCCCCAGTCAGGTTTGCTCATATTCGCCTGCCAATAGCACATCGCCTGGTATGACTGACTTGGTTCGCCAATGACTATGGTTGCAATCACCACAGGTGCTGCTGAGGAAATTGGGAGAATTTCATTTTTCTCTGCACATCTTGTCTCCTCCAGCTTGAGAGAGGAAATTCAAAATATATGGTGACATGATTGAGGTTGGCAAGGTAAGGGGGACAGTGTCCACCTTTTGGGCCTGCATTTAGCTTCCTGTGTGGGTATTGAGAAGATGCATATTGAAACAGCCCAGAGTGCCAGGCGTGCCTTAAAGTGGGCCTGTTTTCATAAGCCTTAGTAGTTCACTCACAGACATCAGGAGGAACAGTTAACTCTTAGGCAAGCATTTTATATAGCATAAGTGTATTATTGACTGGGAAGTTGGCTTAGTTTTGTTTGAGACTAAAGCTAGCCACCACAAAGATAATTGGAGAGTCAGTAAGTTTGCACAATTGCTTACTTCTAGCACACCCTCTCCACTGACCCAAATACTTTTCCTAAATGGGACTTAAAGTATCATTTGTTTAAAAAAAAAAAAAAAAAAAGCAAATACTGCAGTCATCTAAAAACCAGAGCACTGCAGAATGAACTCTGAATTCTCTCCAATGCAAAAGCTTTTCTGGACATGCGGCAAAATAGGTTAGGTATATAGTCATTTTCATATGCAACCAAATTTTAACCCAGAAAACAAGAATTTCTGCCATATTTCCCCTCTTTGAGCATTTTGACGTGATAGAGGGCAAAAAAAATCAAGCCTTAAGTATATAGTTGCTTTTTCTCTTTATGTAACACATCTGAAAATAAGATTTATACTGCTGTTTCATGGTAATTTTGTGTAAGGTATCTGCAAAACTGGACCCCTAAGTCCTATAATATGTTCCTCTAAGGAGCAGAATATTCCTTTACCATGAGGTATAGATTTCTCAGAAGAAAAACTACCAAATATTTTCAAACATTGCCAAAGTGCAAGTTCTTCTCATTCTTTATGCTTAATCTGTCAGAAAATCCACAATAAAATGAAAAAGGAATCTTTTTTATTTTGATGTGCCAATTCGCTCACATACACAACCAACTGAAAATAACACTTTTTAAAAAAAAATGTGGCATAAAAATGAGGCTGTGATCTAAGTTGTGTGTATTTGTTTATGTATATATTTCAAATCATGGTGAGACTGTGAAGTGAACCTATCAGCACAGAAGGTAATGCAATGCAACATAGAAAGATAGACTGCGCATCATCACAGTTGCAAGATTTGTGAATCTTGGGAAAACTTGGGAGTTTGGTAGAAATGGATTTTTTTAAGCCTTCTTTATCAACTACTATTAATGAATACCCAAAACAGAGGCACATTACTTTTTATATCCCAGTGCAATTACATTTAGTAGGATGTGGATCTCATGTCAGACAACTAAAAAAAAAGCTTGAAAGCAAAATCCTTATTAGGTTGTATCAGGCATCTGATTGACTTACTCTGGGTTCAGCCCTGGTTTGTACTTAGCTGGAAGACTACCAGGGAATTCTATGACAGGCTGGGAAATTAGGAGGAAACATCCTGGAAGAATGAAAGATGACAGTGACAATTTTTTTCCAGCTGTTACTGAGGAAACTGCACAGATACTGTATATCAATGAAGTCTGCAGGAGCTGGAGACCTTTTGTTAAAGCCAAAATCTTCTGTGAGAATTCACAATTAGACAAAACTTTTTTTTCTAATATGAAGGATGCATTCCATCGAAGTATTTGTATACTTACTTTAATTCTCACAGGGTTATTAAGCAGTTCTTAAAGGGGTGATTGTAAAACAGGTTAATGGAGAGATATTGAAAGAGCACTCTAACAGATAAAGAAATAGATGAAATCAAAAGCATACTAGATGAATGGAGGGAATGAACTGATGTTTGAAACAGACATGTGATATAACTGGTAAATCAAAGAGTTTCTAGGGCAACATTTTATTTACACAAAAATTGACGAAAGGTGTGTGGATGACCAAAAAGGGTAGCATTTATACAGTGTTATTGGCATCCTGGTTATAAAATAGATTGTATCTCTGTATTTGGAAACACTCTGTTAGGATTATTGTAGGGATCCAGCTTCATTTTTTTCCTGCTTTCTTTCCCCATCCAACATGTCCCTACAGAGGCAGTAAAGGGAAAGACATCAATACCATTAAATCCTTACGTGTCCTTCGTGTCCTCAGACCCCTCAAAACTATCAAGCGGTTGCCAAAGCTCAAGGTATGTTTGGGATAGAAGTGTAAAAAGCAAGCAAAAAAAAAACCCTCATCTTGGAATCTTTGATTTTATGGTGTGTGAGAGTGTGTGTATATATTATATACATAAACACACACACATACATATTCCATAGTCATTTGAAGAAAAGATAGAGCAAGAAGGCTGAAGTCAGGCTTCATGCTCTTTCATGAAAAGGCATGAACATTAGGTTCCTTCATTAGCTTTCACATACTTATTTGCTGCACAGTTTCATCTAAAGAAGAGATATTATAATTGCCCTTAATTTTCCTTGTATTCTTGTGTTTTGGATAATCGAAATCTGCTGACTTTAGCCTTCCTGCACTTAATGGTCTCTAGTTTAGGAATTGCTTTTTTATGAATTACCATTGTATCAATGTGATATTTTCCTAACTGTAGTTTAATTGGTATGGTCGGTACATTCTTATTTTCATACCTCTCTGATTCTACATTTTTTAAAAAAGAAATATTTCCTCCACATCCATAGATGTGTTTACGTGCCCGTCGAAGTTAACTTTTTAAAAAATTATTATCATGACTTAAGACTATTGGTTTGGCTGTAACAGATGCAGTGACTAGTAAACTGGATACAGCTGAAAAGTAGTTTCTTTTTTAGAAAGACAAATTATTACTCTGGTCTAGGAGCCCTAAATCTATGCAAGCCTGGAAGATATTTGGGTAGCAGTGAAGATTTTTTTAAAAAAAGTTGTCCTCCTTAGGACCAATTTACGTGAAGAACAGTTTCAACATTAATTTTCTAGGCTTTTGTGACAGGTATCAGAAACTGTGCACTGTCCCTTTTGTTAAGTGAGCTTAAATGGGTAATCTCATTGACGGTGACAGCAGAATTGCACAATATATTGTGGAAAGCAGTGGACGATTTCACTATGTTAGTATGGCTTTTAAATACATTTTAGATTTTTAATAAGTTTGAAACTTCTATGTTAAGAAAGTGTACTGTTGCCTACTTTTGTGCTATTTTCCTTTACTTTTCAATACTGGTAGTTTAGGGTTGCATGTTACCTTAGTTTTATTTGATTTTCTCTATGATGGCATTTCTCTCACATACAAACATACTTCTTAAGCAGGACGGACAGTTTTACATAATTAAGATACAGATAAACATAACCTAGTCAAGTCTTACCAGAGTATCTGTTTTTCACAGGCTGTCTTTGACTGTGTGGTGAATTCACTCAAAAATGTCCTCAATATTCTCATTGTATACATGCTCTTCATGTTCATCTTCGCTGTGGTTGCTGTCCAGCTCTTTAAAGGCAGGTTCTTCTACTGCACTGATGAATCCAAGGAGTTTGAAAAGGACTGCAGGTACATAGCCTCCTCCCATTCAGGTTTTTTTTTTATTCAATACTTATTTATTTTATGAGACTTATATACCGCTTTAAGTGCAAGCACTCTCTAAGCGGTGTACACCAGTAAGCAATGTATATATATATATATATATATATATATATATATATATATATATATATATATATATTACATTGCCCCCAACAATCTGGGTCCTCATTTTACCTACCTCGGAAGGATGGAAGGCTGAGTCAACCTTGAGCCGGTGAGATTTGAACCGCTGACCTGCTGAACACAGTCAGCTAAAGTGGCCTGCAGTACTGCATTCTAACTGCTGCGCCACCTTTTCTCCTATATGGCCAATCCTGTAACTTATAAGAAGCTATATGACTCATAAAGCTATACTCTTTATAATTCCCTGTGTCACATTGCCATTGCATTCAGGGCAAGCCAGTGATTTCCAATGTGTTATTTTCTGATATTTATTTAATTAATTTGTATAGCTGCTCACCTTGCAGATGTGTCTCTGGATTGCTAACTGCTCATTAAAACAAAATAAAGAACACCTAGAAATCAAGAGACAAAGAATTCTAGTCCCGCCTTAGGCATGCAAACCTGCTGGGTAATTTTGGACCATGCACTCTCTCTCAGCCCTGCTCACCTAGCAGGTTTGTTGTGGGGAAAGTAGGAGGAGGAAGAAATATTAGTTATGTCCATCACCTTAAGTTATTGAGTTATGTCCTGATTAGGGTATTTTTTACATTAATAACACAGATTTTATAGCTTGCCTATATCAAAATACATTGCATCAGTTTTCCATATCAACAAAACAAAATAATTTCCTGAAGTTATAATCTAATTCAGTAAGTACAAGACACTTAAAAAAAAATCTTCTGTTCTTACATTTATCTCTATTATGCTATCCATTTTAAGTTGATGGATATAGTATAAAACAATATGAGGAGCTGCTGCTCTGATAAATCTGGCCTTTTTTTCTTTAATGATTATTTCTGATCTGATGGTTATCATGGTGTCATTTTAAATGTATGATTTTCATGGTTTTAAAGGTTCACAGAAAAACCTGATAGCAGTGAACTATACTGTAAATTGAAGTAACCAATATTTTTGTAGTAAAAGTACACAACCTTAAAGAAACAGTGAATAAAAGGAAATTTTTTATAAATTTTATAAATTTATAAGATTATAAATTTCTATTTTCTTGAAGTCATGATGATTTATTACAGGTGTGTAGAGATAAAACTGCATTTCTGAACAGAACTGCAAATACTAGTAAAAAGAGATGATTAAGGAGCTGAAACATATTTAAAAGAGATCAAGTGTTAGTCCATCCCCAAGAGAGGCTATGGAAAGCACAGATGAAATTCTAGAATTTCTTAATTCTGTGATAGATTCATTAATGGGTAATGAACTGTATTAAAAAGGAAGGAAAACAACACAACTATATGCATTTTTAAATCAGTACACAACTCCTTTTACCTCACTCCCAGATTTAATATCCCTCTAGTGGCTTTGTTATATAAAGGATAATCTGCCTTGACATTCCTTTTCCATGTTTCTCTTACAGACATGAAGAACTTAAATCATTTACTGCAATTTAGATAGTTTAGTTTTCTTTGTTTCTTAATCAATATTCCTGGACCTTTGCTACTAAACTATCAGTAAAGATGTTCTCAATAGATTCATTTATTGAATTGAGTCAATTTGTCTTAAAACATCTGAGGAAATAGGTAACAATGGACTAGAAGGATCCCTTAATTTATGGATGCAATTAGAGAATAACTCAAAGCAAGTTGAAACATTCCTCTAGATTCTAGAGCACAGGTGTCAAACTCGATCGCATCATGTGACGTATCATGATGTATCATGACTTTTTTTGCCTTTGTGGAGCTTGGTTGATCATGGCCTGCGTGTGACAGGGTTGATCATGTGACACATCCAGCCCATGGGCTGCCAGTTTGATACCCCTGTTCTAGAGCTTCAAAGACATAACTGAGATAGAGATTGTTTCTTTATCATCATTGCTACCAGAGAATATATGAGGCATTCTCACTTATGTTGATTCATTTTGACCTGGGTTTTTTTTCCCCATTTGTATTCAAGGTGCCATTCTATCTGTTTCTGTTCTCAAAACCAGTCTATCAGGGAGCCAAACAAGCTCTGTTTAAGGGGAAACTATTTGGAAGTTTTTAAGCCAAGAGCACAAATCAACCCTTTGCTGTTCAAAATATTTTGGCTATGACCACACACAAGGCATGTTCAAATCCCCTAAGAATCCATCACTGCTCGTCATTTTAATTGATCCATCATCTTTATAGAGGGATAATAAACCTATTGTTGTCATGGCAATCATAAAGTCCTGAGTCATACACTTATCTGAGATGGAATCAGTTTATTTTGCTTTACTGAATAGTACTATTATCGAAAATCTAAGATTAGGCAAAGATACTGCAGACATGTTTAGTTGGTTTTTCAGAATTTCGTATGGGAAAAATTTTTAAAACAATTCAGTCTAAATTTTCAGCACTGAAAAAACTGTTCAAATCAGAAGCTTTAGATTTTTCAAATTGCTAAAGAATTGGTCTCTTAACTTTGTTTGCAAGTTGGCAAATTTATTGGGGGAAAATATATGGAGCAACTCAAAATAATGCAAAATTATTGTATTGAAAATTATCCTAATGAATTTATTTGCCTTCATCCTCAGTTAAATATTATAGTATCAAAATTTTAATAAATTTTGTTTATGAATTATCTTCTCCTAATTATTTGGGGAGACTAACATCAAATTAATAGCTTTACAGTAGTAAAGTTTGCTTGATTAACCTTTCAGTCAATCTTGAAACCTGAATAAATAATAAACACCTCTTTTCACATTCTCATTTGAATGTTAATGCTGTTAAAGAGACCGTTTACATCTTAGAAGATTCTTATTGAATTGCTAAACTCCATTGTGTAAAATATGTTTCTGAATACTTTTGTTGATCTTCCTTAGAGGCGAATATTTAGTCTACGAGAAGAACAATGAAGTGAAGGCTGAGAGACGAGAGTGGAGGAAATATGATTTCCATTATGACAATGTGCTATGGGCACTGCTTACCCTTTTCACTGTGTCTACAGGAGAAGGTTGGCCAGAGTAAGTTATTGATGAAAATAAGGATGTTCTCAAATGATAGGGACCTTGAGCATCTAATTGGTTATTATTAGATAAGAGTGTTGGACTAATCCTTGATCTGAATTACATAAATTATGCAGATGAGGTCATTTTGCTACTTTTGTCTAGGCTTATCTAATATGTTTACTCTTATCATATGATGAAAATACCACCTCAGTTGAATAGATTATTTATTTACAATAGCACAGTATATTAAAAACTTGACCAACCAACATGAAAAAACAAAGTACATGGGGCAGATAACAAGAAGTAAAAAGACACATTTTCTGACATTGCAATATATAGAGAAATGGATATATTTTCATTTTATAATGTACTATTCTAGTCAAACAAATCTGAGATTGTTATTATGAACGTGGTTACAAGGAAAAGTGGATTTCTTTAGATAATTAACAATATAAAGCAATATGGGTTGGAAAATCAGAAGTACCAGCACCTCAAAATCAGAGACTGGCATGAGAAATTTTATTAAGCTTCTTTATGCCTACCATGCGAGAGTGTTAATTTAAATGTCAGTTCTCATTATTATTATTAGTGCTTTAATTATTATGCCGGGCCTTAAATATCGACTTTGGGATAGTGAAGGAAAAAAATCACAAGTACAACTGAACCAGAAATACTATTTCCATTTTGGAACCAATAACTATTCAGTTCTGACTTTATATTTTACTATAAAGTTGACTGGAGTTTTAAGGCTACTCTCCAACTGTCTAAATTTATCATGTTTGCTGAGGATTACAGGAAATGAAGTTCAAGACATCTGGAGAGTATTGTTTTGGAAAGACTTCCATGTTAGTACTTAGGATCCTTCTACTCCCCAAGTACAATTTTAAAGATATCAAATGGTTTATTAGTTGCAAGAAAAAGATACCTGTTGTATTAACATGCATTGTATTATTCAATCTGATATAAGCCTATATATAATAAAATAATAATATAATATAATGTAATATAATATTATAATATAATATTATCATATTAGAATTAGTATTATATTAATAAAATTACATTTTCTTCATTTACTTATATACTACCTCAATCTAACTGGACTCTATGCAGTTTACAACAAATATAATGAAATACCAAATACACTAACATAAAATATAAATAATTTATATAAAATAAAAAAACTACTTTTTTTGCAGTGTTCTTAAGCACTCAGTGGATGCTACATATGAGAATCAGGGGCCCAGCCCCGGTTATCGCATGGAGATGTCCATCTTCTATGTGGTTTATTTTGTGGTCTTCCCATTTTTTTTTGTCAACATTTTTGTGGCCTTAATCATCATCACTTTCCAAGAGCAAGGGGACAAGATGATGGAGGAATACAGTCTGGAGAAGAATGAGGTATGGCATACATTGGAAAATCAAATGAAAATGTTGTTTTGACTGTGAGAATATTATATAAAAAAAATATTCACTTCTCTGTTTCTCTCTCTCTCTTTAGCAGTTCAAAGACTTCAGCTTGCTACAAAAATATTTTGCAAGTTGTCAGTAGGAAATGAAATCTGATTTTACTGAGTCTGTGATTGGTAGCAAAGGAAGTCTGCAAAGGCAGATTCTTATAGAAAACTAACAATAAGCTGCATCATGTATTCATCATGATAAAGTTGGAAAATTAAAATATTTAGAGTATATAAGGACAAAAATTCAGATACCATAGATCTATAGAATATTTAAAACAACAATAAAAGAAGGGAACAAGGTTTATTTATAGAGAAAAATACAACATTTTATAAGACAGCAGTGGGTGCCTATTATCTTCTAGCTGTACAGAAATACAATTCCCATTATTAGCAAATATGGCTAATTGTGGAGAAAAGCTGACCTAAATAATACTATTTTGATTAATGTGTATTGTCTGTCAACTTCATGTAAATATATTAGTATCATCTACTATTGGCATTTTAGATTGTGTAGATTTGAGATTATTGCTGCTCCACTTCTTGCATTAGGCTGTTCTTCCTTACAAAAGAGAAAGGAGTCTCGTCCTTATTCTATGATACACTAATAATCCTCTTTGCTTTATTTCTTTACAAATAGTCATAACCTCCATTAACTAGCTGCCCATGGGAAAATGGCTTAAAATCCAAACAGTAGGACCTTTTTTCTATTAAAAGCTACATTCTCTCAAGGGTACCGTATTAGCAGATGGGACTGTTCTTTCTCTCTCTCCCCCCCCCCCGCCTCTGCCTCTCCCCCTCCCCATATCTGCCTATGGGGGAAATTACTTTAAAATAAAAAATATGGATTTTTATCTGTTAAGGGTCACATTTTCTTATGTTAATCTGTTATTGGGCAAGCCTGCTCCCCTTCTTCTCTCATTTATCTTTCTCCTACCATTTCCCTCTTTCCTTCCTTTCCCAAAGGCTAGCAGAAGAAGAATAACTCAGTCTTGCAAAGTTTGGAGTCACAAAGAGCTTTGGAAACTAATCCAGCCTTTCCCCACTGCTGAATTAATGCTACCCATCATTCTCTGAGTCAGCAGAAAACTATACCAGCATAAAATTTTCTGCCTCCTTTGTCTCCTTTGTGATTTACTGCTAAGTGATGCTGTTCTAATCATGTCTAAGTAACACTTGATTAGCAAAGACATAAATTCCCATATCTTTGCTCCTTCCCTCTCAACCAACAGGGAAAACATCCACTGGTCACTGTGGTGTAATAGGGATGTGGCTGTAGGACTTTGTCCATCAAATCTAGGCTTTTTCCTGGGCCTTTCTTTCTATACCCCATTCTATTGTAAGCTGAGCTGAATACAATTTTAAAAATTAGATTGAAATAATGAAGGAACTGAATCATTAAAAGTACTTTTCCTGGGAGTTTCTCTCCCCCATCTTTTCTAAAGAGGCAACATATCCCAAGTTCTACATTTCTCAATATCAGTTGAGGAATGAAGGTAGACCTGTCATTCTATAGTTGTGCTATTTCAAATTTTACTACAATGACAAGTAAAAGACAGTCTGGTGTTGTTGCATTATTCTGACAGAAAAAAAAAATCAGACAGACAGCAGGAATTTAATCTGACTGGAGATAAGAGAAAAGAGAGCATAGTCAACAGTCTGAATCAACAAATGTTCTGATCTCTCCCATCACTGGTCTTATGACTTTGCTTCCAACATTTTCATTGATGAAGTGTAATAACATTTTTTACCTTTCACCCCCCACCCCCATCTAATCTTCAAATGTTAAAGGCATACATTTGGGAACCATCAGAGCTCCGTGTGTTGTCTGCAAAAAAGTAACGTTAATGTATACATGGAGTTTATTTATATTGTAGGATTTGGGTGCATTTTGACCAGGTTGCCTCCCTAAAAATCTTAGTTGAGACAACAGCTAAGTGTTATATATGTAAAAAAGGGAAACATTTTGCAAGCAAATGCCCTAAATGTTCTAAGCTTTATTTATTTATTTATTTATTTCTAAAATTTATATGCCGCCCAATCCCAGGGGACTCAGGGCGGCATACAAAATTTAAAACAATAATATGACAATAAAACAATAAAATAAGTACATTCATACAGTGTGTCCGATCATATCCCGCCGCCCCCCCCCCGGGGACATCAGCCCCAGGCCTGCTGGAACAGGAGAGTTTTAATAAGCTTGGCTTATAAGGAACTAACTAACTAAATTCTAGGAGCTTGAGAGAGGCAAATTGTAATAGGATGTATGATGCTCATAGTATCTCCTTCGCCTCACACAAAAATTGACTCTCCCATAAAACTTCAGAACCTGGTAGATTTTAAAGCTAGGGCAGTATTGTAGACTGCAATTGAATACAAATATACCTAGATCCATTAATGAAGATGGAAATCATTGATGATAAATAACTGCATTCAGAACCATCATTTTTAAAAAACTTTTGAAACGCTTTTCATTTTAGCGTCTTCTATACATGCCTCCGTAGCATTGGGGATGCCTTTGCTTTAGATCCATAACCTACATATTCCTGTGAGCAAGCAAATACTGCATTTGGCTCTCCAAAATGCCAAACCTCATACTGAGCCTCTTCTAGAGGGGAAGCCGTTACAGAAGTTATCTGCTTGCCCATGTCATTAAAGAAATGGAAACCTTGATATCAGCTTGAAGATTGGGAATTATCTGTCCCTTGGTGTTCTCAGTAATCATTCCATTAAAAAGAAAGAATACTGCTTTGAATTTCATGATTAGGTCTTCTAAATTCTATAATTATTAAGGATCATTAGCTCGCTCTTGTTTCTGAACTTTTAAAAACCGTACAGGAGGCATGGACTTTGGCCAGTTTAGATCTCAGAAGAGACTACAATTTAATTTGCATTAAGGTGAGGTACATAAGTTTAGCTCCCTTTGCCATGCAATATGAATAATTTGAACAGACATATAGTTCAATAAATTCCACATTTTTCATGAAATCCTGGACTGTTATATTGAAGTTTATTTGGTGGTCTGTTAACTTATTCTGAAGACTATACTTGGCCAGTTCTATCTACACAGTGTATGTTAAAATAGAGAAATATATCTTTGACCTGTTTCTCTTGGATTATCGGCAGTACCACATCTTTTCTGGGGAATCACAATGGATCTCATCAAAATGGATTCAGCTCTCTCCTTGTGTGTGTATACACCCATCATGTCAAGGAGATGCAGCGATTTTGAAGATTCTTAAATTTTATTACCTTGATTATCCTTGATTGTGCAGCCTATATAAAAACTTTGACCCATCTTGCTTAGAATAGCATTTTCAAGCACTGTGCATAGTTTCAAGTAGGATCTTGATGCTCAACCTGCCTGTTCCTCATTCAAACAGACTTTTGCCTCCCTGTCCTATCCTCTATCATCATGCTCCTTTGTTGTTCAAACAGGTGCTTCTGGTTTTTGATTTAAGGACAATCATTCTCCAGACATCTGTGGTTTGTGAACAAAGACTTTTGCCTTGCACCCTTTATTCTAGACAGCTACTGAAGCCAGAAAAGAACTGTGATGTTTTGAACAAGGAATATTTAGTGATCAGAGATGCTTTTCAACACTGGCACACCTCTTGTAAGAAGCTTCACACCAAACACCACAAGATCCTGGAGTACCTACAATCTATTTCACACACTCAGGTGGGCACAGTTCTCCCAATTTAATTTTCATATCACAGGCTGATACTTTTTCACACAAGTCTGAATAGTTTATTCCACTTGTCACCCATCTCACAGTTCTGTTCTCCAGTCTGAACATTTTGCATTCCCACTTCCAATAGTAGCCTCAGTCTGAGTCTCTGAGAGCTAATGGCATACTCTTCATTTCACCAGACAAATTCACATATCAAAATGACATGTATGGGCTTGGGTACATAATCTTCAGGGAGACGTCCAATTCACCTTTCTTTTTCTTAGGAATGGGGAGAATTGCATCACAATGACTGATTATACATTCTCGCTTCCTTGAGAAGATTTTACAACTTAGTCATTAGAGATTTTGGACTACTTAAGACCACACACTTTCTGCTCCAGTATTTTTCTTGTCCAAGTAGATGTTAATGTCTATGGATCTTCTTGTCTCAGCTGTTGCCATGTCTGGACTTTATCTAGAAACTAGCTGGCCTGTTGCATTGCAAAGGAGACTTGAGTCACAGTTTCCATGGATTATACAACTGATTAACCACCTATAGGACATGAACATGTCATTAGTGTTTTCCAAGATGGTTCATTCCATCTCCTGGCAAGACTTCAGAGACTAATTCTCTACTACATATTCTGGCATTGAAGCTTTCCTAATCTACTCATTTTTAACAGAAGTATTCTATTCACAGTCTATTTTCCAATATTAGATATTAAATTTATTTTTTTTCTTCAGTGCATCACCTACAATCCACTTATGAGACACAGAGGATAAATGCCACCTTAGAGCAATGCCATCATTGCTATATGTAAGCTACCAGCAAAACAGTTTATCTACACTCTTGCCTATGGCTGAGTTCACAACTTGGTTTGTTCTTCTGTTTACATTTCTTTGTTTCAAGGATTCTGTGTAGATCTGTTACTCATATAACTCACTTTCTCCCAGCCTGGGGTCATGGACTTTCTACAAGAACTTCAGACAGTACACCAACTCCTTCAAGAGCCGCTATATTTTGCTAGGGCTTCCTACTACAAACTGCTGAACACCACCACCCATTGATGCTGGAGGTTGCATCTAAATTCATCTTTCTCTTGCAGTCTGGTTACAGCACCTATCAACTTGAACTCTGAGGGAGCAGGCTTGAGGAACAGGGAAAGGGTTTTTGCCAAGAGAGAATCTGAACTGCATCTGCATCCACCAGCAGATTTCTGGATGAGAATAATAGGCAAATTTGTCCTACCTGCCTTCGATCCTCGGAATGGGATTCATACTTTTCCCCTTCTTATCTCCGGGACAACAAATTCTGGACTAGGAAGTTCTACTGGAGTTAAGATACATGACCCAGGAATTACTTCCCCATCACCTGTTGCTTGTCAGATATTTTGGACACCTCCTCATCTCCTTCTTGGGGGGGGGGATGATTTCTGAACACAGGAAAGGGCCAAAACAGGAGGTTACAATGTTGGATTCTTCTGTCTGCCTATAGGCTCCTTCAAGTTTCCTCAGAGAGAGAAGGAAACAAATTCCTTATCCTCCAGCTTTTGGGATTGGGGGGGGGGAATTCTTCAATTTCAGCAAACACTCAGTGAAGCATTGGAAAAGTTCTGGATTCTTCCTGGGTCACTCATGCTGGAGAAAAGGAGGGGAGAAGCACCAAGCTCTTTCAAGAATGGGGTGGGGAAAGAAGAACTTGAAAGGTGAGGTAGCATGAAAAAACTAGTTCTGGATAGGTGAGAGCCAAATAATCCAAAACTAGACAAGTCTATTTTCATAACAAGAAAAATGATAGGAAACCACGTTTATGCTCAGAAGAGAGAATCCTCAAGCCTGTCCACTGTATGGGCAAGAGAAAAGGGGCGCAAGAGTTTGAACCTTGATTTTATTGTAAATAGGATTTTAATTTGATACATAGCAATTCCATGAGTTGTTTCATAATATCTACATTATTTTATGTAATAGGCCTACTTATTAGAGATCTGCCTTATTAAATTCCTGCCTGTGCCATCCCAGTTAATAGAATTTGCAAAGAAAACCCTGATACTGTCTTTGGATGCTGCCAGTTCAAGAGGGAAAACACTGTTATAATAACAGTATAGCTAAGGACAACTTAAATGTGACTCATTCATGGATGGAAAACAAAATGAGGGGGGAGGGGAGGCAGAGCAAAAGAGTGTGCCAGGGCATGTTTGTGCCATAGTTAGATGCAAATGAGGACAAGGACTTTGGTCTATGACAAGGTACTTCATTGATGCTAATTAGCTCTACCAGCTCTACTAGGCAAGGGCAGTAACTCTTGCTATAGACAAGCATCCCTCAGGCCCCTTTCATTGCTGGAAACAACTCTTCCATTTTTTGACCTGCATCCCATGACAAAGTTTCCTATGCGTCTATTCTCCAAACTGAAAATAAGGTTTGTATTTTTTCCCATGAAGTCCAGGCTATCAGCTGTTGTTACAAACTGATTTCCTGAAAATTACTTTTATTCAGGTTTTCTAATTACTGCCTCCTTTACAACCTATAACATATATTATCGCTGCTTAGATCTCAACTATGTAGTGAGTTACAGTTAAGATGATACATTCTAAGAACTAATTGCCATTTATTCTTGCTTGCTCTCCATTGTGGTATTTATGTCCTCAAAAAATAATGCAAACAAACACCCTTAAGATTAAGTTTTAAAAGGCAACTAGACTTCTTGTTGTTTTTTTTCCTTGAATACATTTTGCTTCTCATCCAAGAAGCTTCTTCAGTTCAAATGTGTTTAAGGGGGGAAAAAAAGTCCAGTGGCCTTTTGAAAAAGTACCTTTGGGACAACCATGACCTGGATGACTGAGAATCTCCATAGACATAATGGTTTATTGTCCCCAGGTGTAATATAGAACTGACTAAGGTTCACTGCCTATGGCACAACCATCATAACCTCATTATATTTCTGTCATTTCTAACCCAACACAGAAGCTACTGAAAGATATTCAGGTGGTTAGATATATTTTTTTCTATTCAGACACAAATCTTCCTAAACGATAAATGATTCCTCCATGATACTAGGAATATTGAGATCTGCCTGGTTCCTGTTGGCCATTTTAGGCTGCTGTTGGCTCGTGCATACCATACCCTCTGATCATGTTGCATTGCAGAAGTGAATGGGCTAGAAGGAGAAGAGAGGAGTGCTATTTTTAAACCTATCTGATGCACTCAAGACCACAAGATCTCTGTTTAACATCTATTCTGAAAAATGGGTAACAAATGAAGAGGGGACAATTTAAGTTCTCTCGCTGTCTTGGCTGTCACCTCCCCCCACCCCCTTCTCTCTAAGATTTTCCCCATCCTTGGACTGGCACTTTTTTTTCTCCAGCTAGCAGGAGAAGTGGAGAAAGCTACTTTTAAACACAGATCTGGGTCAAAAGGGCTTTAAGAGAATTAAGGGAGAAGTTATTCTGTAGGTGTCATTCTCTGGTCCCAGAAGTATTCTATGGGATTGGTGTCTAAACAGCCACCCACTCTTTCATAAATATGTTGCTAGCCCTTCCAGGACTTACAGGAATGGCAGAAGAAGCGGGGAAAGGTACTGAGTTTTGTCCATAAAGTTTCCAATATTTCCTATGGATGAAATATTTTACTGGGCAGAACTACACCACGTAGATCGGACCATAAACTTAATGTGCAAGGGAAGGTACTACTCAGTAATGCAGGAGAGCATCGTTTGTGTATTAGAGAGGATTGTCACCCCTCAAAGGGTCAGGAGGCAATTCTAGCTAATGCTAGCCTGATGTACATGGTGTGTGTGTAAGAGTGTGTGTGTTTCTATCCAGTAAAGCAGACCAGTTGTCTGCAGACCAGCTAGTTAGGATCAGGTTTGGGCAAAAGGCCTGTCCATCTTTTGAAATTTGCCTCCCTCTTTAATGAGGAAATGTTGCCCCTGTTTCTCCTACTGCCAAGATATACACCAATCTCTTTTATTAATTTGTTCTACATTAAAACTGTGGGGAAAGCCACCCGTTGTTGCTTCACTGCTGAGGCAGAACCAGACTTAACAATGAAGGCAGCAAAAAGTATGGTAACAAAAAGTGTGTGTCGTCTCAGAAACTGAAGGAAAGCACATTCATGCAGTCATGAGGAAAAGTCTTATAGTACTTGTACATATTGCTATCTATTCTGATGAAAAGCATTATTATATCTCCTTAAGTCTGGAGAGCAAGAAGGTAAGTTTTTTTTCCAAACAGACTTTAATACAATTGATTTAGAGTTAAATTTGTCTACGACAGGAATTATTTAAGCTTTCTCCCCCATATTTAATATAGAGATGTGCACTTCCTTTTTTGCCTAGAGTGGATGGTGCATTTGAAGGTCTGCCAAAGGCTATGCTCATAAACGATTCATTTAAGACAACAATATGAGAGGCAAACTAAATCACTCATACAATTTGACAATAAGATTAGGTGATGTACTTGTAGCTGCACCCAAAGATTTCAGTGTAACTTACATCCTGGGACGTCTTTCCTTAGCATCTTTTTGCTTGAAGGAGACTAATACTGTAGATTCCTGACTGCTGTTTCTTTCTCTTTTCACAGCGAGCTTGCATTGATTTTGCTATCAGCGCCAAGCCACTAACCCGACACATGCCTCAGAACAAGCAGAGCTTTCAGTACCGTATGTGGCAGTTTGTAGTTTCCCCTCCTTTTGAATACACCATTATGGCCATGATTGCCCTAAACACCATTGTCTTAATGATGAAAGTAAGTAGAAATTGCTATGAGTTGGTACTGTCTACACTGAATATATAGCATATGTGTCTTGACTTGTCCATGTATCATATATACTGTATACACCCACATACAGACGCACGCACACATATTACTATATAATTATTTGAGCTCCTGTTAATCTTACCCTATTGATCTCTCCTTAATTCTACTGACTGGCCCTGTTGACTAATTCTTAAACTATGGACTAACCTGAGTCTTAATAGTAGAAATATTATTTTGGACCTAGACTTTTGGGTCATTGTTCAGACCACACTAGTTTAATTTATCATTGTACTTTCTTTCTTTCTCCCTCATACCCCCTTTTCGATAGTTCTACAATGCAACAAATCTTTACGATAATTTACTAAGGATGTTCAACATTGTCTTCACTGCCCTGTTCTCCTTGGAATGTATTCTGAAAATCATTGCCTTTGGAGTGCTGGTAAGTATCGCTCTTGCTAGAATTTACAAATACTACTGCAAAATATAAGAAGCATTCTCCTACTATAAGGAACAGGGAAAAATACATTACACATTATTTTTAAGTAACTATTTAAAAGCATATATCCCACTATAGGTTCTCAGGATTCTCAGGCATTGTCTTCTATATCAGTGGTTCTCAACCTTTTCATACAGCAACCCCGGTCATAAGGACGCGACCCATGCGCGGCGTGCATGCGCGGTGGCGCCCCCATGCGCGGCGTGCATGCGCGGCGGTGCCCCCATGCGTGGTGCGCTTGCGCGGCAGCGCCCCGGGGGAGAAAATGGCGGATCACGTTGTTTGGCGACCCCCGTAAAATGGTCGTTCGACCCCAAATGGGGTCGCGACCCAAAGGTTGAGAACCGCTGTTCTATATAATGCTACAAGAACGTCAGGAATTGGCCACTGAAGGTCATTGGAATAATCTGTAATTTACTAGGAGTATAGAAAAACAGACTAGTGACTGGCTTTCCTTGCTGTAGAACTAATTATATACATTTCATATATCCAAGTTAATATTCTAGCTTTTAAACTTTTAATTACAAATTAATACTTTTAATTTAAAATAAAAATATATTTAAAATTATCAGCTGTAATATAAGATTTGTCAGAAGTAGCTCCATATCTCAAAGATAATTATTACTGATTTCTAGACAGCTCCTCAGAAATAATAGTCACCTGAAAACTGAAAACATTCTGTGCAAATATTAGTTGTTTGTTAGCCTATTCTTGATGAAGGAGTTGATCCTTCCACTTGAGCACAATCGAAAAAAAGTAGTACGTGTTTTCAATGTTGAGTCCATGGTAAAGATCTTGGTTCTCAATTGGAAAAATACATACCCAGACAAATCTTGAACCAAAAATTTAATTAGTGTCTGTGGGCATTTAAAAGGATAATAAAAACCACTATAAGTTTATAAGAAGGATAATTGTTACAATCAATATGTGAGAATTGCATAAGACAAATGTGACTCCACAAGACCAACCTACCTTTAAACAAACAAAAATACATGCTTTAGACTGTCAGGGCACAAAGTATTCCTTGCTGCATAAGGGTCAATGTGTGATAACTCTGAATCTTTAATCCTTCCCCACTCTTTATCTTCTTGATTGCCAACTCTTCAGGCAAGAGATGCTTCTAAATAAATAGTATCTGAAGCAATGATAATTAACAATATTACATTTTTGATGATTAGAAAATGGCTTTCCTACTGCTCACTGCTCTGTTTTATATCTCTATTGAGGTTATTCTCCCCAGTAAAAATACTTGGTTTAAGATCTTACTCATCCAAACATCTTTTCTATTTGCTTTTCTCAAGAGCTAAATTATACTTGTCAACAGCTCTGCCATTATTTAGTCAAACTTTAGAAACCTTTAGCTTTTTTTCTTTAGAGTACTGTAATTCATTAATGGAATGCTGCCCAGGTGCAATCATATTATTAAGCTCATATGTGTTGTATTTATTTTATAGATGTTCATGTGACTGTCCTACAGATAAATGTAGTGGAGTTAAGGAAAGTTGTATATAGTTGCTGGTTGCTTGCAAGACAGGCATATGTATTTTAGCTTCACTGGGTTGCCTCAGGTGCTCACCCAGTACATCTTGTAAGCAAGCATTTCCCTACTCTCATATGTTGCATTCAAATTTATGACCGATAGGTGGATATCATAGGTTTCTGAGAATGTGAACACTGGTGCTTGCACTGACCTGGGTATGTGACGAATGCCTTACTACCACAATTTCAGTAAAAAAAAAAAAAAAAAGGGATGATGTAAACAAAGAATCCTTGCTAATGAAAGTTCCTTTGTAATTTGAATAGTAAGAACTGGAGTATACTAAAAAGATAATCCAGAGCTTGTTAGGGGAGAGGGTAGCTAGAGTGGGAATTCCTCTGTTCTTGTTATTGTTGCTTCCGTCGTGACTAAATGTTGTCACTTGTTCGCTGCTGTGTGGCTGTTCCTTTTCGTCCTTTGTTTTGTTCTTTCTTTATAGAATTATTTCCGTGATGCCTGGAATATCTTTGATTTTGTCACAGTTCTGGGTAGCATCACAGACATCTTAGTGACAGAGTTTGGGGTAAGTTCAAAACTGGTGAGCATGACGTTATGGGGGAGGGAGGCGTTTCTGAAAGGAGTGGGAAATCAAAATTGACAGACAAGAGATTCACCATATTAAACTGAGATCATAACAGGAGAGAAATTAGAAAATCCAAATAGGAGTAATAAAGGATAATCTTGCAGGACTTATTTATTCACCTGTTAATAGTTTTCCCTCTCCCCCACAAACAAATTTAAGATGTCAACAATCAGTTTCACGTTTTTAGTTCTTCACTAAAAGGTTAATATGTAAGTAGGTCCAAATATTTTTGAACTTTAGGAGTACTAATTTTATTAAAGGCCTTTATTTTGGCAGAAAATCAGAAGAGCTCAAACGAGACAGTTTCAATGCCAATGTCCCTCTAGAAAGGTGCTTATACCAATCTTAATCTGACTCTTTAATGTGATTATTATTAATTGTTAAGTCCTTTTAGTTTCCAATTTGCCATCAACTGAAATCAAAGAGCAGATTAGGGTTAGGATTAATTTGCACTTTCCAAAAGATATATATACATATCAAGGAGCAATTAGCATTTAAGTCTGTCAGATAGGACATCCTAACAGAACAGAACCATTAGTGTAGTGCTACAAGTTAAATTTCCTAGGAATGCAAAATACTCAATAGATGAAGCTGATTAATGCAACCTTTATTAATAGGCTGTTTTTGTATTGCTTTATCAGATACATATGTCAAATGTGGCTGGGTCATTCAATTAATCCAAGGTGTAGAGTTACAGATATCCAGATCTCCCTATAACTGTTTCTTTCAAATCAGCAGTAGAAGTAAGAAGCTTTCTCATTTCCCTATTCAATCTCCAGCCCTTTCCCTGTTCACCCCATGGAAAGAAAAGGGGAAAGTATTCATAGCCTTTCTTTTCCTGAGATAGGCAGTGTTATTATTTCAATCAAGATGGAACTTCTCCCTCACAATTTCTTCCCCATGCTGTTTCACAATCAAGCAACTTCTCTTAATAGTTTTGAAGTGAAGAAAAAGAGGCTTGAAGAATCAATAACAGATCTTTTTCTGTGTGTTTACAAGAAATGGGCAAGGAGGGATATCTGATTATAAATTTTGAGATGGTACATCATTGCCTTCCCCAAATCCAGGACATATTCTACTATCATATGGGGGGATTATGTGAATTCCTACACACTGTAGGGTACCAGGCTGGAGAAAGTTGATACAGTGTAACAAAGCCCTGGACTAGTCACGGTTTTAGAATGATCAGACTGACCTTGCTTTTCAAGGATTAAAATGCATTAAAATGCAGACTTCCAACATGGGCTAGCCTAGTAATCAGCATCATATTCATATTGTCTGCAGAGAAACTAAGGAATCAGGTTATGAATACCTTTTACAAAATATAGAGCACAACGAAGATGAGGCTCAGGATTAGGAAAATACAATGACAAATTGAAAACTTTGTGCGTATGTGGTTGACGACTTCCCTTTCATCAAACTGTGTGTGTGAAAGCATACACGTACCTGAGAATTTATAGTATGGTTTGGTGGGTTTTATTTTGTTTGTTATTCTATAAATAATGAATTTGCCCAGATTAGCAGGGGTGAAGAAACAGCTACACTAATAGGAACAATAGTATTTTTAATTTTTTAAAAATGTCATCTAGATTTTGCAGTTTGATATGATTCGTTTCTTTAGCATTGAAAGGGTTATTTAAACACACTCTGCAAAAGAAGGAAGAGATTACAGATGGAAGTACTGCTTTAGTTAATCTATGAATTCAGAACACTCTAAGAAATTGCAGAAATGGTTGCTGGTCTTGAAAAGGTTATCAAAGCCAAATCAAACCCCAAAGGAATAATAAGCTTATAAAAATGTATTTCTCTAACTTTTAATAACATTTTGTAAAATGCATTTTCTCTTAGAGTTAGTACTGGAATAATATCCCAAAACTGCATTTTTCATGAGTTAACTGGACTTTCTTGTTTTTCTTTGAAGATGTTTCGCTTCTCATCTAAGAAGCTTCTCCACCTCTAAAGAAGCTTCTTGGATGAGAAGCAAAATGTTTCTCCATAGACATTTACTGGAATAATATGAAACTTTACATTAGAATGTGATTTATATACAATAATACTTCTTAGATTTAATTAAAGCACATGTTACGGTTCTGACAGATGAAATTCTTCAAAAGAACTTTGAGGCATTGTTTACCTTAAAGAATATTTTATTTGAGAAACAAAGTATCGGCACTACATAGTTAAAGCCAAAAATTGAATTCCCCTCCCCTGAGCACAAAGTAACAAAGCACAATTCCCTCCTCCAATAACAGTCATAAATCACATCCCCCAATTAGCTTGAAGCACGGGCTTTCTCTCCAGCTCTTCAGCTCACCAAATCTTTATCAATTCCAGGTGCAATAACCTTGGATTCCTATGGCTGTGTTATTATTGTTATGACTAACTGGACTCTCATCCACATTTCCCCTCCCAGCATCAACTAACTCTAAAAGCAAAAGAATAAAATGGTTGCATTCCCATCTGTTGTCAAAGCAAGAACATCTGATTTTGCAGCGTTGACATCCGGCCCTTACAAAAAAGACAAATCCTGTAATACAAACAAAAGCACAGGTTAGGGATTGCCTTTTGGTTTGTTAGGATGTTTCTTAAAGAATCTTTTAAGGAATCTATCAGCTTTCACATCACTAGATTTCACCCAGGTGGCCTCAGACAACGGATATTCCTTTCATTGCACTAAATACTGCAATTTCCCTTTAAAAATTCTTGAATCAAGAATACGCTTGAAAAAGGTTATGCTATCTTATTCTGTTTTCAAAAAGTAACATAATAAAATATTTAGTTATTTGAATGCATTTAAATTCAAATTCTCCCAATAAAGTAAATTTTAAAAACTAAAAAAAAAAGAATACACTTTACTTCATAGTGAGTCTGTCCTGCCACTACGAGAGGTCCAGATGCCTTCTTAGGGGGAGGTCTTAAGATGGAATCCTGAAAAGGTTTCAACAGGCTACAATGGAAAACAGGGTGAACATTTCCTAAGAGCCTGGGAAGTTTTAATTCCAGTGTGACCGGGTTAATGATCTTTACAATGGGGAAGGGTCCTAAGTACTTAGGTCCTAACTTCTTATTTGGTAACTCGAGCCATAAATATTTAGTCGACAGATAACCCTTTTCCCCAACTTGAAATGTCCTTTGAGGAGCCCTTTTCCTATTTGCCTGTTTTTTGTATGTCTTGGAAGCCTTTTTCAAAGCAGTTTTCGTGGTTTTCCAGACCTCCTCCCACCCCCTCACCCCTTGATCAAGAGTCTGGGAAGTGGAGGGTCCTTGGGATATTTGGGTATTGGGCTGAATTCCTTTCCTGTGGCCACTTTAAATGGCATGAAGCCAGTGTTGCTGTAAATAGTGTTATTGTAAGCCATTTGTTGATAATCCACATAGCATCGGAGATATTGCTCCACCACTGAGTTGCAGATTCAGCCGCCCCATTGGTAGATGGGTGAAAGGCCGATGATAGTCCTTGAGATGAGCCAATTAGTTTGAGAAAACTCCTCCAAAACATAGCTGCACCCCCCCATCAGAGATTATTCCTTTTAGGTGCACCATGTAGTCTGTAGATGTGTTTCAGGAACATCTTGGTTAGTCACTGGGCATATGGGAGTCCTTTGCAGGCAATAAAGTGAGCCTGCTTTGAAAACAGATCTATCGCAGTCCAGATGACTGTATTTCCCCTACTTTCAGGTAGATCTACTATAAAATCCATAGCAATTTCTTCCCATGGTTGGGAAGGGTCCGCCACCGGTTGCGCCACCAGGGGGTTTCCCAGAATTTTTTTCATGGTGGCACATGCAGCACAACTCTGGACATAGTTTTTCATGTCCCGTTTCAATCCCAGCCACCAAAATTGCTGGCGGATGAGGTGTAGAGTTTTCAAATATCCAAAGTGCCCAGCCTGTTTTACATCATGGCTGTGCCGGAGAGTGTTAAGGCGGAGGGTCTCTGGTAAGTATAGCTTTCCCCCCTTGTAAGGTAAACCATCCCTGCATATTAGGGAGGTTTGACTGTCCTTGAACCATTGGTCGGTGAAGAGTTCTCGCTTTACTTTCTTGGCCCCAGGGTCATCAGGGTTTGGGGCTCTTAAAGGTGGGACTCTATGCAGCGTGAGTTGAGAGGCAGTTTGTGGATTGGAGAGAATTGCCTCATTAACCTCTTCATACTGGCTTTTGTATTGGGGCAATCTAGATAAAACATCAGCTAAGAAGTTCTTTCCTCCTAATATGTACCTTAGGGTGAAATTAAAATGGTTAGTACTGCGCCCATCGTACTTGTTTCAGGGACAATTTGCAGGGAGTTTTCAGTGCCTCTAGGTTTTTGTGATCAGTCCATACCTCGAAAGGCACTTTGCTCCCTTTTAGATAGTGTCTCCAGTTTAGTAGAGCCCAGCAGATCACAAAGGACTCCTTTTCCCATACAGCCCACTTCCTCTCGCACTCAGTGAATTTTTTCAAGGCGCAGGGTTGTAGGGTCCCACTTTGGTTCTTTTGCAGTAGCACAGCTCCGATGGCCACGTTGCTGGCATCGGCTTGAATTACAAAGGGCTTCCCTGGACAGGGATGCTTTAAGACCGATTTGACTGCAAATAGTCTTTTTAAGCTCTCAAAAGTGGTCTGGCAACTCATAGTCCATGCTAGTGGTTGGCTCAGATGCGGCTTTCCTCCCTCTTTACCTGTTTTTAGTAATTCCGTAAGAGGTAGGGCAATTTCGGCAAAGGAGAGGATGAATTGACGGTAGAGGTTGGTGAATCCTAGGAAGCTCTGGAGCTCTTTGCGAGACTTTGAGGGCTGCCACTCAATCACGGCTTTCACTTCAGTCAGATCCATTTCAATGCCCTCGCTAGAAATTCTGTAGCCAAGATAATCTAGTTGGGTCTGGTGAAACTCACACTTTAATAGTTTGAAATAAAGTTTGGCCTTCAACAGCTTCTTTAACACTTCTCTCACTAG